CTCCTACAACGTCTATTCCGATTCAAGAACCGGTGTTTCTTCAATTTCTTCATGATGTTCACCATGCTTATCTTCTACTACATCGAGCAATGGCGTTACTTCCACCTACTCTTATCCCCAACATTGAACCCACACCTCTTCCCAGCACGGACGTATGGAACCAACCTGATGGGCTTCGACCGCACTACTCGGACCGGACCAATGCCTTTATTGACGCAGCCCACATCCCTTCACCGGACATCACTGAGGAAGAGGCACTTATGGATGAGCTGTTGGAAACCAACCTTCCTGAACCACATCACCATGTTGCTGCCCCTTCACCTGACACCCTTCCTGCACCATCGAGGCTCTCAACTACCGCACCAACGCCTCCGAACCGCAAACAGAAGGCCAAGCAGTTCCCAAAGTACCTGCCAAACGTCGTCGCCGCACCGACAAATCGAGATCCCGTTCCTCAAGCCCGTTGTCAACCTGGACTTTCGAAGATCGACAGAAACTTCGCACTTTGAAGGGGGATGAGAAATCCCGATTTTCGTGGCGGGTGATCTCGGCCAAGATGGGCAAATCTGAAGAGGATGTTCGTTCGATGTGGAATAAAATCAAAGACCGGCTTGGATGACCACCGGCGACGTGAAAACAGGAAAACGACGGCCCGCGGCAACGTTTTACCACTTTCAATACTCAACCTCGTGTGTCTCTATCTTTCTTATCGTCTAGGTTCTGCTTAATTTCTAACCACTTTGTCATTATTGTCTCACCCATTTTGACACGGTTGATCGACTTGAACCATCTTGAACCTTCATATTGTATTATATACACGCCGTTAGCCTTTTATTATGTCTCTACGCATTCACCTGGACCGATATTGCCAGCAGCGAGCTATGGCCAACGACAGCATCTCTCCTACTCGACGATCACGTTCTCCGACCAGGGCACCTTCTTCCGCCACGGGTTTTTCACCTTTTCGACAACCACCCGGCTGGACACCTCCGCCTACTACACCCCATCGACCGGTCATTTTTCAGCTGGACCTGAAACCTATGCAGCAACTGGCAGCCAGGAACCCGTATTACAACATCCTGGCCCCCAAGGTCGCGGGCAACCTCTCCACTGAAACATATGACAGCCTGTTCCAGACCTTCAAGGTGATCTACCCCGACTATGCCCGCAGTCATTTCGTCTCAGACCTGAAATCCGTGGTGACGGACACGCTTTTACAAAGATGGTCGGTACACCTACAAGCAACGGACTTCTACATGATGATCGACACGGATCAAGGAGCTCAGATGCTTGATGACCTTCCTCATTCTCTCCTGGACATCCTGAACTGGTTTTACCCGTCATGGAAGACTCATCAACATCTCGATGCCTTCACGTCACGTGACTGTTCACCTTTGTTGCTGACACCCCATCCAGATACGCAAGATACAGGCTTTGCGGTCCATGTTCAAGTGATTCCTCGAGGGCATCCATTCGTCACTGCAACACGATATACGAAGACTGCCGTGTGACAGGCCTTTAGAGATACAACCCCGACATGCACACATTTATAAAACGCAAAAAAGAAAAAAGGAAAAAGGACCGAGTTCGAAATATTCCGCCATCCTGTTGACCATCTCTATTATCAATCCCTTCTCTATGATTCCCTATGTTCTCAAGAATTCCCACCACTATCCTTCATATTGCGGTTGTTCTCCTCAATTGGGACTTCTTATGACGGAATTTCGGCTTCAGTTTGTTTCGATCTCATATTTACTGTTTCCGTACATGGCGAACCCCGGGACTGATGACGTTCTTCGGCTGACTCCAACCCGTCCCTCAACTACGTCAACCCAGGGCCCTGATTCGCATCTCCCACCTGATGATCCTACCTCGGCATCGTACATTCCCCGGGTTGCCAGAATGACTCCATCCTCTACGACCGTTCACACCATATTTATCAAGAAGCTCAGCTACCCCTTTTCTTCTCGACCTGATGAACTTTGGATCTTGGAACGGACACTAGATGGCATTGAAACTTGGAAACCAGTGGAAACATTTTTGGAGAACATGCGCCTCACACGGGATCGTGCCACCTTACGTACCACGGCTAACCATTGGCGCCAATACTATGATATACCCATCCCATCATCCTCCTCCTCTTCGACAACATCCGTTCCAGTTCTCCCACATCCCGAACACACCAACGTCTACGTTTCCCAACCGTACGAAGCGATACCGGACCAGCTTCATATTCTACAATCATGCTGGGGACGTTCGGCTCAACATCATTCACAAGGTACCACTATTTCTTTGTCTTGGCCACCATGGAGATCTACACCACCTTCCTCACCATCGGCAACACTCCACCGGACCCTACACCCGAATAACCTTACCGCACCTGTTCATCATTCTCATTGCCCACTACCTGCGAATGAACCTGGCCCTATGGATATGTCTGACTCCAGTGTGTAACACACCACATCGCCTGGCAAAAAGGAAAAAAGGAAAAAGACTGTATGTCGACTTTGATCAATTATTGTTACCCCGTCTCCTACTTCCTCCCTGTCATGACTTTCGTTCTCCGATTTATCGTCATTTACGGTATTCTTATTTTGCAGCCTGGGCTTAACTCTTGACACTTGACGCCATGGCTCACTCTTCTCGTCCTCACCCATATCGCGCTACATCCAGGGTTGATACACCACAAGGTCCCAGAACTGCTGCATGGCTGGCTGGACATCGAGGCCTTCCTGGTGATGTGAACCCTCCTCCATACAGACCCATTCTGATTTTAGTGGATTACTCACCTTTGCAGGGACTGACACACCGCAGCGAACCTGACCGTGATCTTTACATGGCTCTGGCCAATTCAAATTTCAAGAATGTTAGTGCAGGAGAACTTGAAGCTCTTTTTACTTGGTCACGTCAGCTGGAACCAATCGAAGCAGGCATCCTTCCCATTCGAGACCTACGTACCGCCATCACAACAAGATTACGGACCCAATCAAACATCCATTTGGAACCTTCGAATTTGGAATTTCGCTACTGCGATCTGGAAGGTGATGCTTTCCAAGTTCCCAATGATTGGACTGTCATGCAGCTTTTGGAAGAATACCGACCTGATTGGCGTCTTCGGCAGTACAACTATATCGAATCCACCTTGCTCGTACCCGGTACCTCACAGCCTTTCGTGCTACGTCTGAGATGCCATAAGGTCACCCCTGGAGTCATCCTACCCTGATTTGCTTCGCGGTTGAACAAGAAAAGGACTGATCGGCTCTTCTTCTCTTTGGATTTACGAGATTTTACCACTATGGTAGACTTTCTGGGAGTGCACTTTTCGATTCATGATCTGCCAATTTCTTTTTCGTGAACTTCGTAACCCGTTTGTTATTATTATTCTTGTGCCTGGCATGCATGTGTGACCTCAGCTTTTGGTTTGGTATTGAGCTTATTCTGCGACCGTTTCACTCATGGAGCATAAACGTGACGCACCGGTGGCTGGCTTGGGTTGGCCTTCAAATCCGAACCGTGGATCCGCTTCCACAGAGTCTGCCCCAGAGTCAGACGTCCGGGCTTCTGAACTACGTCATCCGGTTGCCCCCACTCCTACGACCTCGACCACTTCGGCACCTCTGGAAGCTAATACTACACCCAACGACCTCGGCACCACGTCTCAGAACGATACATATTCAGCACCCGCAATTCCTGATGTACCTTTCCCTACAGAGCCAAGCCCTACCTACAATTTCTTCCAGCGCCCCCACTTCTCATCACGAGTGGTCCACCAGATCCACTTCAAGATCATCACGCACTCCAACAACACCAGGGAGTTATTCATTGAAGAGATTCCCACCTCGGGGCTCTCTAAATGTCGTGATCCTGAACATTACTTCTACGGTCTCTCTGGCAATTGGGAGTGGTCCTTGCGCACTGCGGATTATTGGCGCCATCACTTTGAGATTCCTCTAGTACATGGGCACCATCCTTTTCAATTGAGACGCCTTCTCCTGCAGAGGCACCCCGCCTAACTACCAAGATCCAGGAGTTAGCCAAACAACTTTCAGACACTTTGACGGCAGCTATGGCATCTGGAGAACTCAACGACACATGGAGAACGGTGGAATGCATGAGCTTCCGCGAAGCGATCCAAATACTTCAACTCGAAGCGAATTTCCCTTCTGAGTGAAATGACCGCAGCCTGTACATTAGCATCGTGTAGGTTCAGTTGATTTCATTGATTCGCCGATCTCGACCGCGACGATCTTCCAAAATCAAACCCCGCTACCAGCGGGGCGTGTGTGTGTGTAACATCTGAACAGATGTAAAACTTCTTCTTTTCTAATACTTTTATGTTTGCAGGGGGCATGCGGCCATCATGCAAACGCATGCCAACGAAGCTATGCATGATGGTGGAAGCCGGGGCTGATCACCCTGGTGTACCTGCATTGTTGTGATCACCTGTTGTTCAGGGTTTGTTTCCATTCCATTGTCCATGTCTGCTGATGGGAAGAGGCCCAACCCCAGAACCTCAATATCAGTTTATTTATTTATTTATTTATTTCTTCACGGTTGCCACAATCTGTATTTTCGCCGAAACCATATCACGGTTTTGCTGCATCAGAACCTTCCTCAGAGCAAGGACGTAGAAAGCACCTTTGTAATATTTTGTTTACATGATCGCCGACACCATCGTCGCCGACAGTTATTTATTGGCTAATCGTCGCCGAGACATCGCCGATGGTATTATTGCTTGTTTATTCATTCTTTTTGATGTCGATTCTGAACCCGATGACCATTCTGAAGTACTTCTATTATTCGTAGGATGCATCGTTAATTTCAGTGTTTCGTATTTAATCTGCATGTTTCAGGATTCAGTTCCTACCGGATCATATAATGATCCATTCTTGTCTAGTGTGTGTGTGTGCCATTGTTCGAATACAATATCCATCCCTTAAGTCTACCAAATCAACAAATCAGCAACAGAATCAGGACCTCACTGGCGCTGCGATTCTGAGGACATCTGTCGGGCGAGGTGAAGGATATGCACCTCTGGCGAGCGCTCTCCGAGGTGGATCCTGACTTCGCAGCGAAGTGATGGCTGCGATGTGCCAAAGTTGAGAAAAACATATGTAGACCCTCTAGGTATGTAGAAAAAATGATGAAACGTGGGGAAAACATGGAAGAACAGTGAAGAACATATATATATATTTATAATATTATTTTTTTAAAACATATAATGTATAGTATCATATTGTATCGTATATAAATATATATATATATATATATCATTGTTCCTGTTATGTCATATGCCCATTACTGCATTAATTCTTTTAAGACATTTACATATTTAAATTTTTATAATAATAATAATAATTTAATAATAATTAATAATAATATCTATATACATATTATTATATAGAAATGTACTTGAAGCGTCACTAGTCCAAACATTCATTGAAACAAAAGCCAAACTTAAACGTGGAATGATCTAGTTTGGAGTGATTTCTGCTTCAGTTGCCATCCTTATGTGGATTATATCTGCTCTTTTGGCGCATGTTACATTCCGCAGCTTCGATATTGGTACATAGGCTGCAGGAGGATGTGGCCGAGAAAAAAGGCGGCTGCGCACTTGCCCAAGTGCTGTTTCCACGGGTGTCTTCCCATCACATCCGCAATGTCAGTGATACACCCAATTAAAAAAATACACACCATCTCCATAACTTTAAGCAACCATTTGGGTGTCTTTTATATTCTTTTATTACATCTAGGGGTGTACGGTATACTGACTAGAAAGCATAATTACAGTAGGGGATGGTTTATCCGGTTTACCATATTCATATGGTTTGTTGGACTTGATATTGATTGACTTGACCTTTGATTATTCATAGGGGGTTGGCCCCTCAAGGGTTGCTTCAGATGGTCCGAATATGTGTCTTGGCTGTTGCTTCCCTCACCAAGAAGGGTCTTCAATTTTGGCTCGTCAGCGATTATATGGCCATCCGCCAACCAGATTAGTATTGGTGATGATCTTAAGTTTGGTGGGTATGTCGATTGTCCCTCTTTTTACGCTATCTATGGAATAGGTAGTTCAACCACCAACAACAGATCATTGGTTTTTGTATCCCCAATTTTGATTCGTTTAATGTCACTCCCATTCCATGTTTGCTGGGCAAATTTTCTACCACCATAATTGGACGAAGGGAAATCTACAGGAAACCCAAACTGTTTGAGGGGTAAAAACTGTTTGGTTTCAGGTTTCAAATGGTTTCAATTTCCCCTTCATCCAGTCCATATTTTCTAGCCTCAGAAGTGGCACAAGTGGTTGTAATCTACCCATTCAGAATTCATACCCTCTGGTTATTTAACATAGCCGTGGTATAGATGGCCCATAGAAAATAGATGGTTTACCGAACTTAAAAATGGTGATTTTCCATGGCTATGTTAGTCATAACCAGATGGTAACCCCCCATTTTTTGTTGACCAAACCTTCCAGGACCGAAGATCGAGGTCTTCAGGTTATTCCCGGCGCACCACCCAGGGTGTCAACGGTGCTTCGGCCTGGATGGTTGGCAAATTTCATGGAAAATCCACCCAAAAATGGATGATTTCGAAAGACCCCCTATGACTTAGGAAACCTCTAAACAAAGATCTAAATGTCGGGGATTTCAGAAACAGATTGATGGAAGATGGGTCTGGAACATGGGGGTTGCAAATGATTTCACCGGCCAACATGTGGATGTTTGACAATCAAACAATCGCCATCCTGGTGGGATGTAGAATCACCACCGCCACCAACAGCAGCAGCAGCAGCACCACCACCACCAACAACAACAACAACAGCAAACAGCAAACAACAAACAGCACGCAAACAACAAAACAACAAACAACAAAACAACAAAACAAAACAAAACAAAACAAAACAAAACAACAAAACAAAACAAAACAAAACACAACAAAACAAAACAAACAACAACCACATCCACCACCACAACAACAACAACAACAGCAAACAGCAAACAGCAAACAGCAAACAGCAAACAGCACACAGCACACAGCACACAGCAAACAGCAAACAGCAAACAGCAAACAGCAAACAGCACACAAACAACAAACGACAAACAACAAAACAACAAACAACAAAACAACAAAACAACACAACAACAAAACAACAAAACAACAAAACAAAACAAAACAACAAAACAACAAAACAACAAAACAACACAACACAAAACAAAACACAACAAAACAAAACAAAACACAACACAACACAACAAAACAAAACAAATCAAACAACAACCACATCCACAACAACAACAACAACAACAACAACAACAACAACAACAACAACAACAACAACAACAACAACAACAACAACACCAAACAGCAAACAGCAAACAGCAAACAGCAAACAGCAAACAGCAAACAGCAAACAGCAAACAGCAAACAGCACACAGCACACAGCACACAACAAACAGCAAACAGCAAACAACAAACAGCAAACAGCAAACAGCACACAAACAACAAACGACAAACAACAAACAACAAACAACAAACAACAAAACAACAAAACAACAACCACCACCACCACAACAACAACAGGGGGTATGAAGTAAATCTTTTTATGGGGAGGTAATGGGGAGAAACAAGGCGAACCTGGGAAATGGCAGTTGGTCGCGCATCTGAGGTTCAAGTCCCTCGGCAGAGCCCATCTGCAGAGGAGGTGCTTCTCCGGGTGCAGGCAGGACATGAGAAACAGAGGGCTGTGAAGGATATGGCTGGGTCGGAAGCACCCCCCTAAGCTGGTGTTTTAGCAATATGTTTGGCAATATGTTTGGCATGATGAGCATGTTTTCAGGACAGCAGATGGTGCTGACAATTTTTGTGCCTTGCAAGGCTGCAGCCCTCACAGCGACAGATGCCTGGACCCCGAAAAAGGCCGGCTGTTTTTAGGATGGACCAAGAGGTATCCGCCCGGCTGGCCGAGGTCCAGCTGTGCCAAGGAACGTTGCCCGGATGGGGACAGTTGAATCCTCAGTTCCACTGGGTATGACATGAAAATTGGAGCAAAGTTGGCTTCTGTTGGCTGCAATTCATTTTAGGAGAAACAACTTTTGACCCACAGCAGCTTGTGACTTTGTGGGGGGGATGAGCCGCTTGTTGAACCGCCGCTGTTTTGCAGCTTTGCGTGGCTCTGATGCACGCCGAAAATCGCCCAATGAGACATGCTAGCCACAAATCATGCGATGCACAGCAAGGCAGAAGGTTGAAAGGCAGCAGGTGTAGCCCATACTTTGGGTGGAGGCATTGAATTGATTTCTATTTCTGCTTGGTTCCTTTCAAGTTCTATTCATTCGCGCACCTTTCCAAAACCGTTTTAGTCTTTGGTCACTCTGTGGTGTGGGGCGGGTGTCCTCAGCCATGAAAGCATAGATGGATGGTTCCGAAGGAACCCATGTGCAGATTGGCGGCCACACGGTGCTACTTGGTAGCGAACTGAGGCAGGTCATGGGAGAGCAAATCTCAGCGCTGTGCGCCAGGTCCAAGCTGTTGTAACTTAACATAGCTATTGAAAATGGCCATAGAAATAGTGGATTTACCAATTAAAAATGGTGATTTTCCATAGTTATGTTAGTTTACCAGGGGGTAACATGATTTAATATGATTTTAGCACCTTATGTGCAAAGATGTTTTTTTTAATCGATTTTGCATTGATTGAAATGCGGGGCGCTGTTTCCATGGTGCGGTCGTGATTCTTCGCGATGGTGTGTTGGGTGATTGGCGGCTCCACTCTGCTGGAGGTTTTGCATTACCTAACTGGCCGATGAGTACCACCCTACAGTAGATATGTAGGCTATGATGTAACCAACAGCCAGTAAATTCCAAGCCTAGAATGCGCAACATGTCAAGCATTGGAAGTGATCAGGATATTTATCTTACTTTCAGACCATGGAATTTCTTCACATATTTTGGCCCAAAATTGGGATGGTTTTCCACCAGTAGGTGCCCATCTCTTTGGCAAGACGAGTCCAGCAGCACAGGCACATTGGCTCCAAAAAAAGGAGGCCAGCTAGCGCAGGGTCACAAAGGAGGCCCTCCAGCGCAGGCTCTCAAGTGCCTTGGATGAATGGTTTGATGGGTTATACGTCCTGGGATTTACCCGGAGGGGCGTCCGCTGTACGCGAAACAAACGCCTTTGATTTGAGGGGGAAAAAACAGAATCCGATTTCAGTGCATAGCCTCCGATAATTTCACATAGCTATCGAAAATGGCCCAGGGTGATTTCGCATGTATTTTCCAATTAGTGATGTGAAGTTTTTCCAGCGGCTCCAAACTCTCGGTATGTGACCCTCCAACCAGCGGCTGCCGCGTTGCAACGGCCCAGGTCAGCCATCGTCATGGCCCAACTTCGGATGATCAGGTGCTGAGCGCCCAGGACATCCATAGCTTCGCTGCAAGATGGGCCGCGGGGCCCTGGCCGGTGGCTTGGTGAAGCTGGCGCCAGGGATGGTGATGAGTGAAGCTGAAGCCATGCTGAAACCTCATCAGATTTGGGTAAATCAATCATTTGAATTCATTTGAAAGATGTTGAAAAACATGTTGAGCATGTTAGATGATTTTTTGGATTCAATTCTGTAGTGGGATGGGTTGGTGATGGAGTGATGGTAAAACCCAGCTTCCGACCAAAGCTGGGACTCAGGTGCTTGAGGAGAGAAGAACGGTCATCGTCCATCCTCAGCAACCAGCAGGGGAAGACGGAGTTGTTCGGATACCGCATCTGGTAGGCCGGACATTCTCCTTGAAGTCGCCTTAGATTTTCGAAGGATTCAAAAGATCAGACGAGCGCTCAGAACGCAGTTATCCGGTCCGTTCGGAGCCTTTCTTTGAGCCATGGACCGGATGATGTGGAGGCGGCAAATCTATGTTTGACCTCTTGTTTTTTCTCTCTGGCAGGCGGAAAGTTAGAAAAGCACCGTGACAATGACGAGTGGGTTCTGGTCGTGGAGACTTGCCACCAGTGCGAGTGCCATCGCCAAGAATGGCTGCGTCATGATCCGCAAGACTACAGGCCAGTCCAAAGCAGTTGTGTACAAAGACGTGATGTGACTACGTCCAAAATGCCTGCCGTGGGTCGTGAGAGATATTTTGAGGATTATAGAGGTGCCGTAGTATGAGGTATTTGGATTAATTAAGCATAGATTCGGTGACATTAATTAATTTAGATATATGGAATAGATGATATCAAGATGATAGATAGATCATCATATTGTCATATTGTGCGAGTTCAGCTCAATAGAATTTCACACACAGTGTATGTATTTGCACTAATTGCACGATATTTGCACGTAATGTGTGGGCTCTCGGCAGGTCCGGCTTGGAAGTGGTGCGGTCCGCCTGTAGGGCCCTGGACGGCGCCCGGCCGGTGCACTGCTTCCATTTGGAGACGCCGGACCTGGGGCAACGGATCGGTGCCTTCGAGGTCTTCCTGCTGCCCCCGCGAATCTGCGAGTCACCTGGGCTGCATAGCGGCCCTGATTTTGTGAGGTCGCCGCGGAAATGGGGATATTTGGGATAAAAGGCCTCAATTCTCGGCATGTTTTGATATATGTTTTGCATGTGGAGCAAGAACTGTCCCCTGCCACACAGGCGGGTATGTGACGGTATGTGTCCTGCAAGTGGCACCAAGGCCGGCGTATTTTGCTTACCTCGTTCATTCGAAGCTGTTGACCCGCAAATGGCCCAGCCATCAAAGCCTTGTCCACAGGACGGGACAGCGGAAGGGACACAACTGCAGCTGGCTGTGTTGTTTGTATTTGTTATGCACACTGTTGGAAAAATGTTTGCAGACATTTTGACAGATATATGTGACCTTGGCATTTTGTGACCTTGGCATTTTGTGACCTTGGCATCTATCAAATCAGTACTTACATGCCATGAGATGCCAATTACATACCATATTGTTAATCCTTGCCATCATGCCCTGAAAATATCTGACATGTTGGAGGCTTCGGGATGATATGCCGCGCCTGGATCATCGTGGCTGGAAGTTGGCCCTGCATGGCTTGAAGAGCAATCTGGACATCTTCAGCTGTTGGAAGAAGGCGCAGGAAGAAGTGAAACACCTGGAAGAGGAGATGGGCGAGCTGGCGAGTCATGCGGAGAAAAGGGTTGCAGACTTGGTGCCTTTGCTGACATCAGACTTGGTGATCGTTTGCTGGGAATGTGACCCGACAGCCCGACAGATGGCAAAAGATGGTATGCTTGTAGCACTTGTAGCTATTGATCCATCCGCAAATTGTTTTTTTCTCAGATTTTTTCTCTTCTCTGGGATTGTGGGCCTAGTTGTCAGGAGGTCCAGCGAGACTTGTACTTCATTGCCTCAGCATAATTTGCACCAAAAAGTGTATAGTGGAGGACCCTCCTGCGGCTGCATCAAAAAACAATCTTACTTTGACGTTGATTTTCCAATTTTAGACCACCAATTCCTAGTTTTGGTTTATCCTATTTCTCGCATGTCCTAGCTTATAGCCATGAGGCATATATCGCAGGTCATTATTTCTCCAGGATGCAAAGGTGCAACCTGGATGAGAATTGATAGCTGCTAAGGCATTGATACTAGTTCATATGCAATGTCAACGGATATATATATATTATTATATAGACAGGTGTGTCCACACATGACGTATAACGAAATTGTACAGATAGATATGAGGCAACTTAGCGGATCGGATAAACACAACTGTTGTGCACCTGTTTTCCTTCATGCCAAGGAACAGCAACTAAGCGAGCTTCCAGAAGTCCAGTACCAAGTGGAGCAGTTGGAAGATGAGAAAAGTGATTTGGCATTTTCATCCAAAATTATTTCCTATGTTCAATCCACAAATTTCATTAAAACAATTGGGATGTTATGTGTCCGTTCTTGGCCCATTTCCAACCTCAAACCTCTATTTAATGTCAGATTTGGTCAGATTGTTTTCCTAAGTTTCACCATGTTTCACCCACAGAAAATCCAGAGAAATCGGGTAGAAAAATCTCCGGGAGATCTCCGAGCGTCAGGTGATCTGCTGGATCAGCTGAGGAGCTGCCAGCAGGACTGTGATGCAGCGAAGAGGCGCGGGAAAGATCTCGAACGGGAGATGCAGCAGATGAAGGATGGGGATGGATGGGGATGGCCGGGATGGATGGGGGGAAACCGGGGAAATATGATGGGAAATGAAGGGAAATGATGGGAAATGATCGGAAGTCATGGGAATTTATGGAACTTTGGTGGATTTATTCCCCAAAAAAATGGATCTATCACTCTAATGCCCATATCTGCCCAAAAAATGTGTTGAGGTTTCTGATGATACCAAGATATACCGAGTAGAATGATGAGAATGATTGGAATTTGGCAGCAATAATGGGTCTAGAGAAGATATGAGCAAGGCGTAATGAATTTTTAACCAGATGTCAACTTGATGCGGATTCCACTTTTAGATGCTCCTGGTTCATGTAATTAGCATTAATTAGCCAAAGACGATGTCACACTATTCCGAACATCAGTGACCATCCTCTTCACACTGAAGAACTGGAACCGTCTGAAATGGCGTCAACCGAGGAGTCAAGTCTTGTGACCGAAGGGGAGCTGAAGAGACAGCTGCAGAAGACAGAGAATCAGCTAAAGGAGAGGGATGCCACCATGAAAGCATCCTGGCACATGACTCGTATCATGACTCCTACTTGATGAAAGATTCATTGCCTTCCCCATTCTGTGTTATTCAACGAATCCATAAAGTTTGCCCAGATTTGTTTGGGTTCAGGCTTGGTTGAATGGATCATCCCAAGATCATCCCAAGGCCCTGGTAGCGAACCAACAGCAGATGTTGGAGGCGCAAGAAAGCGCCGGGAGTAGCAACCAGGCTTTGCAGAAAGAGTTGGAGACGGCGCGTGTGGAGTGGGCCAAATGTGAAGTTCAAATCCTCCACTTGGAGGATGAGAAGAGGAAACTCACTGCAGAACGAGACTCGCGAAGACGCTTGGAACACATTGTCATGGTATATTTATGATGTTTTATGATGATTCATGATAAGTTACTGTATTGCGATGTATTGTGTCTTATATATATATGTTTTGTTTATGTTTTATGTTTCTTACCTTGCTGATGTCGTGTCATCCCTTCTTTCTTCCCCAGGAAGTGAAATTTCTGGCCTGAATGAGGACTTGGGGCAGCCGTGCAGATAATGACCTCCATTAGGATCATTAGTGTCTCAAAGGGTTGGTAAAAACATGTAAAAACCATCCTGGCACCAACTGAAAACAAACAAACACATTTCGAACACATATTATATATATATATTATATATACATATTATATATATATATATTTATATATATATTATATTATATATATATTTTATTTTTTTTTGCTTGAGTAAAACATGCCACAGCAATGTGGCCATTTTGAAACACTTCTTAATCACATCAATCTGTGAGTATTTTTGGGGGATGAATGAATCATTCCATCCCCCCCAAAAATATATTACAGTATTACATGTTCCCCCCCACCGGCATAAACTCCATTAATCTCCATTATATCTATATAATTACCATAAATAAACATCCATTGGGACCCCCTCCCCCAAGGCATCCAGTCACTAGGAGCTGGATGAGATGAAAAGTGGCAACTTGCAGCTGCAGAAGCAGCTAGAGGAGATACAAAGAGATTCCGAGATGAAGGATGCTTGGAAGTCCTGGTAGGTCATAAGGTTGAAGTGCATGGCAAGCTGGAAATAAGCACAATTGAATACAAGTGAAACTGATAAAGGTAGATTGACATAGGATTTACTGTTTATAAAGGGTGGAAATGAGGTTAGTTGGCCTCATTGCGTAGTAGGCATTACGCATTCTAGAGGCCTTATCAAGGCCCTGATAAGGATGCCCGGGCTCAGTGAGGAAATGGAATGCTAGATAGGTAGCGGTGCGGCGGTGCACTGGCCTATCAGTGTTTGATCACACATCTTTCATTTTTCCACAAGGATTTACATATGAGTCCGTGTATCTCCTCATACACCACTTTGCCAAGGATGAGAGACTCAGTCAGATTGGTGAACTGGAGCTGGCCATACAGCAACTGGAACATCAAAAGCGAGAACTCACTGAGAGCTTACAGGTCTGTGAGCAGCAGCTTCTTGAACTGAAGGGGCACCGTCGGTCACCGTGAAGGGCAAGGGAGGGCAAGGGCGGGCAAGGGCCCAGGGTTGAGCAGCCTGTGACATCAAGCATGCACTTGGCTTGGATTCGGACTTTCAAAAGATGAAGTTAAGTGACTTAAGCTTTCAGAAACAGATTTGATCAGATTTGTCCCAGGAAGTGGGTGGCAGAGACGGAGCAGAAGAGTCTGAACCGAAGCATTTTGAGCACCTCTTTGCGTGAAAAAGAACTGCAGAAGGAACTTTGGCTCATGGAGGCGGTGGCGGCGGGTTGCACATGGTTGCACCAAGTGTGTTGACTGTTGACGTATGTTGACCTCAGATTCCTGGTGAATCTGCTTCAGATTTCAGCGAAAATGTGCGCCATTGGCCCCAGATCCTGGTCTGGGCAGGAGATGAAGGTTACTGCAGAAGAGGAACTTCGGGTGGAATTGGAGGAACTCAAGGCGAAGTTGGAGGAGAAAGAGGCGAAGTCCGAGGAGAAAGATGTCACCATCAGAGCATCCTAGCCAGATCTTGGTGGTGGGTGATTTTTTCGGACAAACAGCAGATTGGTTGTTCATGTCATCCATATCTGGAACTCATTCATTGGGGGATGGTTGGGGTAAAAAATTGACAGCCTACTTTTTCCATGCAGCCTGAGCTCTCAGCATCTCCCAGCTTGTCGCGTTGCGCAAAGGAACTGGCAGCGAGCCAGACGCGTTTGTTGGACGCCCAGATGGCAGGAGCCAGCGAAGCTCAGCAGAGAGAATTGGAGTTTCTTCGGCAGCGGCAGGAATTTGAGGGCCAAATCAGATGCTTGGAGGAGGAGAAGGGAAAGCTTGGTAGCAGACAAGAAGCCCAGCGACACTTGGCAGAGCCTGGAATCATGTGGAATCTCAGGGAAAAATGCATCGCTTTGCATGGAATAGTTATTGCTGACTGGAACTTGTGTTGTAGGTGATGGGTAGAAATTCCATGAAACACATAAAATGACATACCATCAAACAGCCGCACGCGCACACACAGACAGATGCGCGCCTTGTATGTATTGATATACATGTATTTATATATACATATATATACCATGTTCATAATGTATTTAATTTCACATGCATACTACCCTCTGGTAATTTCACAGAGTTACGGGAAAAACATAACCATTCTGAATGGGTAAATCATCTTTCAATCGAGTGTTTGTCCAGTTCAGGAACTGAAGTGGATGGCCTGCGTCAGGACCAGATCATTTCAGCTGGGAAAGTATGGAAACTCATTTTGGCATCTTCAAACATCTTCTTTCTTTCCATATCAGACATCGCCATCCCCAGGAAACAAATCATAGAAAATCAATAAGTTGATCATGGTTCAGAATGGATCAAAGATGGCCAGCCAAGCAGTGATGGTGATTTTGCGCATAGTTTATTCATTTTACTAAATATTAATTATCGGGTCTACCACACTAACGGGGAAAGTGGTGATAAACCACTGGATTTCAATGGATTTTTCTTGATTCCAATCCAGCTCCAGGAGCTGGAAGAGATGGAGAGCAGAAATTCCCAGCTGAAGAAACAGCTGGAGCAGCTGGAGGAGTCTCTGCGACTTCAAGCAGTACCTCAGACGGGATCCGACCATCGAATGTTTGGAGGGGATATCCCCGGTATCTTTGGGGAATAGTTACGCTGGCTTTGGCGTTGAATATGGACCAAGATTTGGATAAGGGTTTGTCTGCCAAAAAATGCCCCAAAGCCATTTCATTTCATTGTCCTTGAGTGGCAATTTGGCGGGGTCATAGCATATTTTCAGGTACACCCATACTGGTTTTCCAACCAAAAGAAGGAAAGATCAAGAAACAACAAAATGGGAATGGGACCGTCATGGATCTGTCAACCAGACGAAGAGTGGAAAGTGATCGACTTTCAGATGCGACAGGCCCAGCACCGGGCTGATCGATCTGCTGGACAGGCAGGGAAATTCTTGGACATTGGGGATGGTCCTGAATAAATTGCACTTTGACTAGGCAAATGCAGTAAGCAATGATTGCCAAACTATGGCTTTTTGGGGCTACCACATTTCTTGGGGATAACCGGATAACCTATATATGTGTCCTGAGTTTGATGCGCTGATGTCGGATACTGCTGAGACTTGCCGAGCTGCCTCTGTAGGCTACACTGTCAGAGCCACCAGCTTCACTGGAACCTCCACCGATGAGGGCTGCACAGGTGCTTGTTGAAGTTGAGTCATAGTGAAAAGCTTGGAGGTATGATTCCTTGATGAGGGTTGGAGTTGGAGACGCCATGAATATGGACAAATGCAACAAATAACGGTAGGTCAGCTTGGCTTGAGAGAGAGAGAGAGAGGGAGAGGGGTGGCATTGCTTCGAAGTTCGAAGTGATCAAAATATGTTGAGAGAATGATATATGAGATGTTGGTGAAGACCTGTTCAGATCTGTTTGCCACTGACAGTTGACTCTGCTTGCAGATTCAGTTGAGGCGCCTATGCAGGCTACACTGTCAGAGCCACCAGCTTCACTGGAACCTCCACCGATGAGGGCTGCACAGGTGCTTGTCGAAGTTGAGTCATAGTGAAAAGCTTGGAGGTATGATTCCTTGATGAGGGTCGGAGTTCGAGACGCCATGAATATGGACAAATGCAACAAATAACGATGGGTCAGCTTGGCTTCAGAGAGAGAGAGAGAGAGAGAGAGAGAGGGACAGAAAGGGAGGGAGAGAGAGAGAGAGATCTTAGAGAGAGAGAGGGAGAGGGGGTGACATTGCTTCGAAGTTCGAAGTGATCAAAATATGTTGAGAGAATGATATATGAGATGTTGGTGAAGACCTGTTCAGATCTGTTTGCCACTGTCAGTTGACTCTGCTTGCAGATTCAGTTGAGGTGCCTATGCAGGCTGCACTGTCAGAGCCACCAGCTTCACTGGAACCTCCACCAATGAGGGCTGCACAGGTGCTTGTCGAAGTTGAGTCATAGTGAAAAGCTTGGAGGTATGATTCCTTGATGAGGGTTGGAGTTGGAGACGCCATGAATATGGACAAATGCAACAAATAACGGTAGGTCAGCTTGGCTTCAGAGAGAGAGAGAGCGAGAGAGAGAGAGAGAGAGAGATGGGTGGCATTGCTTCGAAGTTCGAAGTGATCAAAATATGTTGAGAGAATGATATATGAGATGTTGGTGAAGACTTGTTCAGATCTGTTTGCCACTGTCAATTGACTCTGCTTGCAGATTCAGTTGAGGTGCCTATGCAGGCTACACTGTCAGAGCCACCAGCTTCACTGGAACCTCCACCGATGAGGGCTGCACAGGTGCTTGTTGAAGTTGAGTCATAGTGAAAAGCTTGGAGGTATGATTCCTTGATGAGGGTTGGAGTTGGAGACGCCATGAATATGGACAAATGCAACAAATAACGGTAGGTCAGCTTGGCTTGAGAGAGAGAGAGAGAGAGAGAAAGGGAGAAAGGGAGAGAAAGGGAGAGAGAGAGAGAGCGAGAAGGAGAGGGGCTGCATTGCTTCGAAGTGATCAAAATATGTTGAGAGAATGATATATGAGATGTTGGTGAAGACCTGTTCAGATCTGTTTGCCACTGTCAATTGACTGCTTGCAGATTCAGTTGAGGTGCCTATGCAGGCTACACTGTCAGAGCCACCAGCTGCACTGGAACCTCCACCGATGAGGGCTGCACAGGTGCTTGTCGAAGTTGAGTCATAGTGAAAAGCTTGGAGGTATGATTCCTTGATGAGGGTCGGAGTTCGAGACGCCATGAATATGGACAAATGCAACAAATAACGATGGGTCAGCTTGGCTTCAGAAAGAGAGAGAGAGAGAGAGAGAGAGAGAGAGAAAGGGAGAGAAAGGGAGAGAGAGAGAGAGAGGGAGAGGGGTGGCATTGCTTCGAAGTTCGAAGTGATCAAAATATGTTGAGAGAATGATATATGAGATGTTGGTGAAGACCTGTTCAGATCTGTTTGCCACTGTCAATTGACTGCTTGCAGATTCAGTTGAGGTGCCTATGCAGGCTACACTGTCAGAGCCACCAGCTTCACTGGAACCTCCACCGATGAGGGCTGCACAGGTGCTTGTCGAAGCTGAGTCACAGTGTAAAGCTTGGAGGTATGATTCCTTGATGAGGGTCGGAGTTCGAGACAGTCCTGCAAACAAGGATGCAGAGGGTGCGAAATACAGAGAACAACTTATGATGCGGATACGAGACGTTGGTGAAGACCTGCTCAAGACATGTCACCGCTTCTTTGCCACTGTTGGCGGACTCATTAACCATTTAGCATCGTTTAGTTGATTTAAGTTGAATTTTATCAATTACTATGCAAATCAATTGACTTGACCAATTAATAGCAATTCATAGCATTTCATTCAATTATTCAATTCACAGAATTGGATGACGGGAAATTTACAGGAAACCCCTATATTTGATGGTAAAAACCATGGTTTCCTGTAGATTTTCCCTTAAAACCAATCCATTGATCAATGATTTCAGGCAGGACCAACCGCAGGACTTTCCAGACGGCGCTGTCAGGTGCCAGTGCCATCTGGAGTGGTTGCTCCCAGCGCTCCAACGGATCCACCTGTGCTGCTGGAGCATCTGGAGCATCTGGAGCCCGAGCGACCCGAGCGGGCCACGGTAGAGGATCCCGGACCACGGTAGATGTTGGAGTTTTCTTATGGCATTTCTTAAGGATTAACCTTGGATTAACATTGGAGTAACCATGATTAACATGGTCGGGTTCAATTTCCTTGGATTAACATTGTAACAATTTGTAACATACATGCACTACATATCACTGCATGCCACAATTTCCCCGTTGACGGGCAGGGTGCTTGTGCTTGTTCACCCTGTTTTGGCTGCGGAGGATGTGAGGCGCTCGGAAGTTAGCGACGAGGAAGTGTCGACTGTGTCAACCGACACTGACATCGATGTTGCCAACAGCGACGAAGATTCAGCCGTGATGTATTGACACTTCCCAGGCTCGAAGCGGTCGAGGCAAACATTGTGAAAGCTACAGCATGGGCTAGATCGAAATTCCATGGATTTCCTTATTTGACATATGATGTAGTCCTTGAATTTGAAATGGCGGTGATAGTGGTGTGACTGGGGGTGTTAATTCTATGGCCCCATCAGAAGCCCTGGCTTGCTCTCAGGATGCAGCTACAAGCACCCTGCGCAAGCGCCCAGCTTCGCAAAGCACGCAGCTGCGAGAGTTTTTCCAAAGACTCCCGCCAAATTCACTTTGCTTGAGGAGTCGTTGCGAGGCCAGATTGGGAGTAGCACTTTGGGACCCAATATTAATCATAAGCCGTGTTGAGCCAGTTCGGAGAGCTGAACTTGGGTGAAATTCAAGCTCCCTGAGTAGCGATTGATTCATTGAGCCTGGGCAACAATCCCCACCAATTCATTGGCTGCTTGGCCTACTTGTTAAAGGCATGTCAGGTATTTGGCGTGAGGCAAAGCCTACGTCAAAGGGCAGCAATTTCATCAGCCAAGGCAATTACAGTAGTTGCCTGGAGCCAGTAGCATTCCCTTCAAAGCTAAGGCTGGATGCTTGGCACATTTTCAATGAATCCTGCGTGGCTCACCATGCAGGGTGCGCTCTGCAACGAGATTTCCAAACACGTCCATGCACTAATGTGGATGGGACAATGTGTGCGGAGAAGAAAATGAGCAAGCCCCTTTTCTATCCCCAGAATGTGATACACTTGAGACACTAGTGCATGTAGTCCAAATATGTCCGAATGAAGGCAGGCAAGTAGTATATCCCCAGTTTATCAATGAATATATCATAAACATGTGTGTGCATGAATATGTGTATACGCACAATATGTGTATATATATATAGAGATATAATTTATAATGCCCAATTAAAATACATCCAGAAATGGCCGAGCAACATGGAACAACTTGGCTGCCTTCAGGTCTGGTGCTTTTGTGCCAGGGATTTTCTTCACCGGGAAGGCAAGGGCATTCAGGGTACAGTACCTCGTTATTTGATTTTGTTTGATTGCGAGTCGACGTTTCTAAATCTTAGTACATTGGAGTCGGTATAGTTGTCTACATCAAACCATGATTAAAAACCATGCGTATATAAAATGAACAGTCACAGTCAGTCTATCATTCCCTATAAATATCATTACATCATTTATATCATATTATATCATCAGTCTATCATTAATGAGCACCTATAAATGATATATAGGGAATGAATGGGAATGATTTATGGCATTTTATGGTGATATTATCCTCGCCTATGGTCCAATTTCGCACCTGGCCATGTTTTCAGCCAGGTGTTGTCCTTGGGCAAATTCGTCCACGGCCTCCGCGTTGGAGAGCTGGTGCTGGGCCTCCGACCTCCAGAGGTGGCCCTAGCCCATCCTGACGGATGACTGAAGAGATTTTCATAGTAGATTTTGATATATAGATAGATAAATAGATATAATTAGATAGATAATGAGATAGACAGACAGACAGATAGATAGTATAATATATATATATTATATTATATTATATTATATTTTATTATATTCTATTCTATTGTATTATATTATATTATATTGTATTATATTATATTATATTATATTGTATTATATTATATTCTATTCTATTCTATTATATTATATTATATTATATTATATTATATGTTATATATATATATATATGTGTGTGTGTATGTGTATAGTACGTGTATGTATATATATATATATATATGTATATCAATAGGCTTCAAGAGATAATATGTTTAGTGGACATATTGATGAAGATCATGTATCCGTCACCTAGTCAAATAAAAAAATTCTGAGACAAATGCGCAGAATGAATTTGAAAGCCCCCTAAGTCTCAGATTCCTGATTTTTGCAGTCTCCTAAAAGTATGCCCGTGAAGGCAGATTGCAGCGGCGGGTGCTACTGTGAAAGCCTCTGCAGCACGCTGAGACATCGAAGTCACAACTGGCCATGGCACAAATTGTCTCCGAGAACTGGATGATAGGAACATTTAAAGGGGAACCCCTTTACAATTCAACATGGTTTTAAACATGTTTTTAACCTGGGTAATACGGTAAAACCTGTAGATTTCCCCTGAGCCAATCAGTTGTGATTATCCCATTGACAGTCGCTGGATCCAGAATTGAGGTGCCCACTATTCTGTTCTCATCCCACTGGAGGGATTGGCCGGAAGCTGTGCCAGTCAGATGGACAGATGCCAGGTGGTTTTTTCATGGCGAAATGTGGCTTGAAATGGCTAAAATTCAGAGGAGAATCTGACAATTGGAACTTGACATAACTTAAGACCATTTAATTTCTGAATGGTTCCTACGAGTATAGCTCTCACAAAACAAAACCACGGGATGACGAGAAATACTTTGGCTGTGGCGGTGCCCAGGTTGAGACCAAGTTTCAACCAACAACAATTCTCGCACACGTGCCTCCGATGATTAGCCCCAAGGATGCATTTAGAGACGCCTGGGACATGACATATTTTTGACATGGCTGGTTTGTCCTTGTCTTTCGAGATGTGTTCCACAGGCAACACCGATCTAAGAAAACCCAGTGATTTCGCTTGAAATGATATCTGAAATGCCCATTTCCACATCCTCAGAGTCTTGCACCGGGCTCGCCAATATAAGCCGACAAAGCTCATGAAGTACATCTAATTGCTTCTGATTCTAAACTCCTTTATCTGCCCACCAGGGCATAGGATGTCCGAAATTGTCCGAAGACAGAACCGCGTTTTGCAAAACTTTCCACGCATCAACTCAAGCTGGTTTCCGGATGTTGTCAGAGATATATCCGTCAATGTTGTTGAAAACTTTGAATAGATTGAACCCACTGAAGTGTTTGCAGCTCTACCAGCAGATTCAGGTGCGCTGATGTGTGTCGCCTCACAGCTGAGACTACAACCCACGCAGGAGCGAAGTTTTTCTTCCCAGACCTGCCCAGATGCTGCATGAAAAAATGCCGCAGGCCTTGCTGCTTTTGGCGCCGCGCTTGGAAGAAGCTATCTTCATCCTGCAACGTTTAGTCATCAGTTGGTGCTCCCAGAGCCACTTGTGATGGTTGTGTTGTAGATATCATCACATCATACAGTATCAAAGTATGTCAAAGTATATACTATATGGCAACCCTGGCAACCCCCACAAAAGATAGAAAAGTGATGAAAAGTGAAGTCCTAGCAAAACAGTGGCAACTGATTTTTCGATCTTTTTTGGGGGTCATTCCCAGCAGCGAGGTGAATCTTGGCGTGGCCCACTTTACCTGGTGCTTCTGACTGGTGAGCTGCGCAAAGAGAATCTGGAGCACTGAGCTCAGCACGAAACTTCACAGTGGCCACGACGAAAGATGTGACACAATGGCCCCTTCCTTCTGGCACCGGTGGACTTTCACAAAAGTGAGAAATGTATAGAAATGTGAGAATACATTGACATGTAAATCAACATGTCATTGAAGGATTTTCTGGGCTTAGGCACCATCCTATGCTCCAGCCCCTTCTTGGTGAAGGTGGCGGATGGGGAGATGAATCTGTGTTCCCAGACTTGCCCATGCCATGACAATGGAGTGGTGTGCAGCCAGGTTCCACATCGACGCTGCAAAATGTCAGGTGCTTCTCGGTGGAGGACCACTAGTTGGCGCATTTTGCCTAGAATGATGGGATTTCATAGTGCTTAAACTTCACGATGGTTAACCACCACGAAACCTAGCGTTCAAAGAGGAAATGCAAGTCCTGTTCTTCCAGATCTTCCAGTTTCCATCAAAAAAGGTGATGTTGTCTATTCTCAACTGTTCTCAACTGTTCTCAACTGTTCTCAAGACATCAGAATCATCAGACATCTCAAGACCTACGTCCTTCGATCTCCGACCGCCCAGGATCGCTTGGAAGGGCGACGTGGGGCCGTCACCATGGTGCTGCAGCAGCTCCTTGCGGAGGTGTCCTGGGCATCCCCAAGTCACCATGACTTGGGTGGTATAAACCATCCCCAGTCATGGTAGGTTTCGTATTGGGATGTATTGGGTTGCCCAGATTACAAGATATTACGACTATTTAATGCCAAATTATATGATATTATATGATATTCAATGCTGTTTTCATGTGTTTTCTTGTTTTTAAACCACGCGCGCACGCATACTATGCCACTACTGGGCATGAGTAAAATTACGCCCAGTCATGGTCGGTTCATGGGATGGTATTGAGCTTTTCTGGCACAAGCAGCGGCTTTTCTCGTTTGCCAAAAACGATGCAAATCGACATCTTGAAGGCGCTTTTCTCGTTCGCATCCCATTCCATCTCTTTTCTAGCTTATCTATAATATATACATATAGAGTATATATAGTGTAATTATGTATATATAACATATTTACACACATATGTATACCCTGGGGTTCCTCGACCTTTAAAACAAAGGTGGTTTAGAGGCGACCATTGTTTGGCGTGAAACACCTTTGTTTGCACTTGGCAGGTATCTACACCTACATTAATGGTATGTTGATGTTATCTCTGTGCAAATGCGTGAGGTTGGAGATGATGAAGGCCATTTTGGCCCACTTGGTTGCTTTGGGATGCAACCAAGCAAAGATAGTAAAATGATGTAATTGGAACATATTGATTGTCATACTTCACCATTGAGAATTATCGTAAATAATCATGACTAATTTCTAGCAGAACAACAAATTGATACAAATTGTGTCCATCAGTCTGATGCTTTCAGAACATCAACCAACCACTTATTCCAACAAAATGGATGAACATACCAAAATCAAAACAGATCCTCACCTGTCCGCTCTAGCCATGAGTTATGAAGAAAGCTTTCGCTATTGGCCCGGCGCTCAATTACTTGAATTCCAGCTTGCACCAAAAAATGTTGGGACTTTCTCATTATCATAATTTCCTTTCGTTGTGCAAGCTCTGAATTCAAGTAATTGGGCCCACCTACTATGACCGCGTTGCTCAGGCTACTTAGAAAGCCTGACCGGTGAAGATATCATCGACCTATATGAACTTCCGGGTGCCAACCAGCCCTGCCCTGCACCCACCATCACTCCTGCCTGGGAGTGTGCATGGATTGTCATGGGAATTCGTTGGCACATATATATCCCTTTTATCCTTTTGGCTTGAACTTGTGAAAGGGTGGCATAGTAGAAAATCGTCATGTTATAAATTAATTGAATAAGTAATATGACCATGGACACATCCCAAGCAATTGTTTTTGTTGCACATGGTCCTAGCCATCTCAAGAGATGGCTGTTGTTCAGCCATCCATGTCGACACCCAAGCGCTTGAATACAATGCGCGTTGCGTTGGCCAAGGAGTGCTAGTGGCTCCACATGTTCAAAGCACTAGGATGGATGAATTTCTAAACAGTCACCCATAATTTGATTTAGGATTTGGAGAGCCTTGATTCCTAGGGCCTGATCCCTTCAATAAATTCTGTTGCAGGAGTTCCTGAAGACATTTTGTGAAGATGAAGGCTTCATCTCCAAGCGGCGCAAAGTATTGCGCTTGCGGGCTGGGCTTCGTGAAGATGATATCAGACTGGCCTTAAACCCAGAATCTTACAGATGCAAACATTATATTATATATTTATTAGTTACATGGCTTGACAAACTTCAACAAATTTGATCATTTTTTCCATATTCTATATCGATAGTAGTTGTCTGATTGACACACCAATGATGTTTATTGTTCGCATGGAGCTATCTCAGCAAAACAAATGTTTTCCTATCATATGCAAACATGTGAGGTCCCGAAGTTTCGCTTTATCATCCTGGAGGGCAAGCGTGCTACGATTTCTGAAAGGGAGGCCAGCCAATATTCAAAAAGTTATGAACAAATGTTGTTAGGGTGTATGGTCAAGAACATTGTGATGATTCCTACCGTTTTCATATATTAGTGATGTTGGTTTTCCCATGTCTCTTTGTTGGCAGGTTCAGAGCGATCACAATTTCGAGCTGATTCTTGGATACCTAGCGTCGTTTGCACACGACCTGCCACGACGCAAAGAACTGGAGGTGTGGTCATCCCATCAAATACATCCCAGATCATCTTATTTGGTACCACCTATATTTATTGATATATGAGCCTGTCCTCTTGATTTCGTTTGAACTCATAAATATTGTTGTATCTAAATTCTTCAGAAACTCTGCCACGGCCAGACTTGCCTCGCTTGGGCGTCGAGCCACTACCGCTTGAATCCGTGGCGCCGGTTTGAACAGCATCAGGCTTGATCTCAATCTTGCTAGCTTACTGTCCTTGTCTTGATTTTGTTTTACAATCTGATGATGTGAAAGAAACACTCATGTGCTGTCATACTATGAAGTCGTAGGACACTGGTTGTGGTTTGGGGTCGTGACCTGCCTAGGCCTGGGCCATAGTTGAAGCGGGTACTTTGATGGGAGCAGCATCCTGGTGCATGGATCGCTTTCAGAGAAACCCTGGGGCCAGGCCTGGATCCGGGCACCAAATTTATCGTTTATTCAATTAATTAATATATTTAATATTATAGGGTTTACCATTTCTTTTCAAGGGAACCAGGTGCATAAGTCCTTTAAAAAGCAATGATTTATAACTGTAATATGTGGGGTATCTGATTTTTGTATATGTTTTTTTGCCTGAGCAAATGGTCTGTTTTGCCCCTATGCAGTGCCAGTAGCACATGTTAATATACATATCAGGCCTGGCCATTCTCGGATTGAGACCATCAAAGAGATGATCAGAACCAAGCTGCAGGACTCGCTTGCGTCATTTGCTTGGGAATGATTATAGCATTCTGAAGTTTAGACGGCATAATGTGCCAGCATGCATGTGATATGCAACAGCGTGACCTTTAGCATGTTTGAGTTATACATGAGTGGTATTAATTATGTTGGCTTGTTCCTGTTCAATTAGATCACATTTCTCAAAACTTCACACCCTCACACACACACACACCCTTATTTAGATTTTCCATCCTGATGCTAATCAGCCCAGCTCTTGGGACGTACAGGAAAATAACCTGTTGACTCCAGATGGGAAAAGGGTGGCAAGTCGGGGGCGTGGAATGAGCGACAAGAAGTCTGAGAAGGTGGGAATGGATGGTGTGTGTTTCTTTTTGTTTTTCATCGTAACTTATCAACGGTAGTGAGTGAATTCTTTTAGTGTTACGTTATATGAATTTATATCTAGCTCGCATAGTACAACACACAATTTATAATATTACATTGTGTAAATAAATATAACAGTGAACCTGTGCCCACGGATGCATATTTTACTGTGTGATTTTCGCATTGCTTTGCCAGCCTAAATAAAATTAATATCATTTTTTGTTTTGGCTAACTTAATGGAGACAAAAAAACTATCCTGTCGCCACCTGGCCAGGTGAAAGAAGGCAACCCTGATGAAGTGGATACGCAACCCATCGGTGATGCCATGCCTGAGTGTTCTCCATCCCCCATACATCCCATGCAGCCCTTCATAGAGTCACAATGGCGTTTGGAAAGGGGTACCTCTACTTCAAACTTGGGAGATCGGTTGGAAGTCGATACTACCATAGACCCATGTGATGATGAAGTGAAGAGAATGAAGAGGAGATCCCTGAGGAGGAAGTGCCCACTGATGATGAGTTGATAGATGAACAGGGTGTGGTATGTTTGGAGGTGGGGTTCCAAGACAACGAGACAGTCCAAATTCTTTCGGATGATGAATGCGTGATGTCGCCAGGGAAGACACGTCCCCTTTCGATGTTTGATGGTCCTCGTGATGTCCATGCAGGGGGTAGTGAGCCACCTGTGGTACCTACGCCCCCCGTTGAGGAACCAACATCCCAAAAAACAAAGGGAAAAGCCATCGAGGCAAGGGTGGAAAAACCAGAAGACACAAAGCAGAAACACGCAAAGCAGGCAAGCCAAACTGAACCCACTGCCCCGGAGATCCCATCAGAAAGCAAAAAAGCAAAGGTTGCAGAGGCTTTGGAGGAGGACATGCAGTCTGACTTGGAAGGAAACGCAGATGAGAAAGTCTCAAAAGCAACCTTCAAGGCAAGGAAATATATTCCTCTTGATTCTACACACACAAGTTGTACAGTATGTAGGCTACAAATTGTCTGATGAGTCAAAAATAAAAAAGATAGAGCACGACGCACCCCAAGCATGTGAACTGCTGCCCACAGGATCGACAGCCACTGGCAGAATTGCCGGACCTTCCCACCGACTTGATGAAGCAGGTTGACAAGTCACTTGCAGACTCGGCCCAAGATGAGGCTGAGATGAATAGTGAGTTTCTGAAGGCCAGTTTGTTTGTTTTTTGGGGGGAGTGACTCCAAACAAACTTCACACTATTGATGCCTTAGCATTGTCAAAAAGAGACGTCCAGCATATGGTGTATAAATGCTCCGAAAATGATATATATACTGTTAGTGCGTGTGTGTGTGTGCTATGTAGTTTGATGATGTCACAATTATTATGTATGCAAACTAACGTGATCCGTGATATATTTTCAGATTACTAATTTATGCAATCTTACATTGATGAACTCTTACCATATCAAACAGTCGTCAGATATTTTTCTATATAAAAACTGATGTGATGCATGGCCCACAGGGACAGAAAGCACTACGCCAACTGGAGAAGGAAGCGCAGATGGAAATTGAAGATCCTGACAGGCACTTTGCAGAGGAGGATGAAACGTCTGGTGTCCCACACAGGGGAAGAGGGAAAGGTCGGGGTCGGGGTCGTGGACGGGGAGCACGGGGACGGGGAAGGGGCAAGAGAGATGCTTCTACAGCCGCAGCTGCATCCAGCAAGCCTGCGGTCGCGAAAGCTACTGGCCAGACTGGAGTGGCTGAGGGTGATGGTGCTGGGGAAGAACCGGGTGATGTTGAGATTGCATCCACTGGGGAGCCCCCCCAAAAAAAAGCAAAGACCAGTGTGACCCCCAAAATGAAGACTTCGAAGAAGAGGGCTATTCTCAAGCGATCTAATTCACAGAGCCCTGGGAAGCTTGCCACAAAACCTGCACCAGCCAAAGATCCGAAGAAGGAAAGCCAACATGAGCAGCATAAGGACTGTGTTGAGTACAAAAGAAGTTCACACAATTGTCGACTGCTTTAGTATGTGTCGTCAGTTTTTTGTTGAACTGTGTAAGAAAACGCCGCCACATTTCAAGGTCAAAATCATAACACCCCAGTCCCATCCATGATATTGTTATTTTTGGTGATATGGAACTATTGTCAGGAGCCTGAAGGGAAAGATGAGCAGAAAGACAAAGGTGAAGCATCGTCCATGGCCGCAAAGGATGGAGAGGAAGACCCAGCTGTAAGGCAGAAAGAAGTTGAATCAGAAGCGAAGAAAGCTATGGTGAGCCTACCTGGGTGTGGGTGGGGGCATGTGAGACCAGAAACATACTGGCTAGTCAATCAAAGCAACAAAATGTTGATCAAAGTAAGCACATATTATATGTAGGCTAAGCAAATTCAATTTTACAGCTGATGCATGTTGATGGTGTTTTTCCGTCTTCATATGTGCATGTGTATTACATATATACGTTTTGATGTGCAACATGTGCAAGTATATATTATATATTATATAAATTTATTTATTATTAGACAAAGTACAAGCGCTAAGTAGTATATTTTTGTGTACGTTACCATTGGTACTCTAAACAAGAAATTGCAAAAATAGTTTTCGATGTCATGTAGCCTGGTTTGAGCTATGATTTGTACAAGTACTCCAAACTTTGGTCTTACACATTTATAAATTTAAATATTCCCCAGGTTGTCGATATGATTAAACCAGTGCATTAATTTCATCCCGCTGTGCTCTGTTGGGAGGCAAGGACTGTGAACTTGACGATGCTCCGGCAGTTGGTCAACGACCCACAACTTCGTTATCCTCCTGATGACGAACTGTTGGTTCAGAAGTGGTTTCCTCAGCTAGTGCCATTTGAATATAATAAATTGATTTATCAGCCAAATAAAACATCACAGTAGAATAGTGAAACATAGTTTCGAGCAGACATGAGAACCCACACAGTAGAACATTATATAATATGATGTTTGGTATATGGATGGAAATTTATAAATGTTTGGGTTGTTGCTTTGGGTCCCAAAAAAAATCCATCAATATCACCAAGTGCACAGGTCTTGGACTATGATGCCTCCAGAGGGACTGGAGCCTAATCTTGCTGAAAAAGCAACCCGCATTCAAGTCTTGCCCGGAGCTCAAACCAGCTAACAATTATCACTGCACTGTTTGCCCAATAGATCGAGTGTGCTGCCATCTGAAAACAAGGGGCACCACCCCTACTGATTACCAAATTTCTGAGGCTGGTTGTATCGCGATCTAGCAGTGCATCTTTCTATGTCAAGGACGTCACAAAGGATACCATTCGAGCGGTTCAAGAAGGAACAGGGCTGTCTGACATTCAGGCCCTTTTCAATAGGTTCATGCGTGTAAATATTGGAGGGCTAGTCAAACTTGAAGTTCTATAGGGCCAGCAATAACAATTGTCGAATATGTTATTCGGTTATATTTTGTGTTTTTTGATTTCAATCAATGAAATATAAGTTTAGTTGGCATGCTCTTATACTGAGTTGATGTGCCTGTAGGCAAACAAGCAAAATGGTGTCAGCGTTGGCTGGTCCAAGCGGGGTGGGCCAGCAACGGCGCCTGGTGCTTAGCCCTGCATTCCAAAGCTATGCACCATAGTACAACGCTTCTTTGGTATTGTACCGGTCATCATCTCATTCTGAAGGTCCAAGATTGTGAATTGGTAGGTTTGAGGTGTTGAACATTGTGATAGTAATGCAACGCATTTCCCAATGTGTCACTGTTCTGGAACACGCCAGCCAAATCAAACAGTCTACAACAATCGGTTCAAAACACATGATTGATCTTTTGAAGTGTTTGTGGGAAGCATGTGATTATATATCATCAATTATCAGCAATCTCAATTTATTTGTGATTTTATATATCATAAATTGACATATTATTCACATTAATTAATATATAATTAAATATATTATATAGTAGATCGTAGAGCTATCATGATATTGGTGATCATCAACCTATCTTTCGGTGATGGGTCTGTATATTTGAACTAACAAATTCCACTCTTATGATACCTGATTCCATCCTAAGGTGGCAGCTGGCCAAAATGCTGGCCTGCTGGATTCCTCCATCTCAGCTTGAAGTGTCCGAGGATGTGTCGTGAGCCCTGGCTTAGGTGCCCTAAAACTTTGGCGAGATGGATGCAGTATGACATTCCATCATTTTTATTTTCCCAGGGGTGGCTGGTTTTTGCAATGGTGTGTCTAGCAAAAATATTGGGGAGTCCATTGCATTGTATAGGTCAAGTCACCATGGCAGGTTATCCAGCAAATATCCTTAACAAGTCTTGTGCAATGATCCACCATGCAATGATTACCAGCATAGTAGTGCACATTTCGAGCGCGACTGGCACTCTTGGCATAGACTGGCTGGCATGGAATACCAACTATAGATTATAGTCTATTCAAAACAAGTTATCTATTACGTTCTGCATTTCGTGAGCATGGAATCCAAAAACAATTGAAATCTTATTTATAAATCTTGGACCGTAGGGACCAGCAGCCAGAAGCCCAGGGTGATCACAATTTTGCATTTGAAAGGATATTTGCTGTGAACATGTCTTGATCCGCCAGTATGATCAGTGAAAATCATTGCCAATGTGTCACTTTGGGTTTGGTGTAGTGGCAGTTTGTTTTATCTTCAATATCGCTAGCATTTGCCTGATTGCAAGCACCCTGGACTCTGCATTGGTCCCATCAGAGACAACTGGCTCAGCTCTCAGATTTCAGAAATCGGTACCTCAGTGCCGGTGCTGTGATGGCGCCACGTTCCCGTCCTTCCTGGACATCATCCCAACTGGCACTATCTAAGAAGGCATCCAATCTTCTTCTGAAATGGGGAGTTCCGCTCATCATGTTGCTTTTCAGAAAATTAGAAAATCAAGACAACACATGGCATGATTTATTGTGGTATTGATCCATCCTTTGCATCCACCCATTTTCTGGATTTGGCAAAGAATTCAGGTTGCATTTGCTGGATTACGTGGCCCAGAATGCTGCTGCTGAAGAATCCTATCGTGTTTGGACCTTGGAAACTTTAGATTTTGTCTTTGGGGTGGATTCTAAAAGGGCAGGAGAGAACCTGGAAACGATATATAATTTCCTATTTGTCTTTGGAAACACACGAGCTAAAATACATATGAGGTCATGTGAGAAGTAAGTCTGGAGGAATTGCCTATTGACCCAGCGTATCCCAGACTGGATGTCGTGGACGGCTTCTGTGGAGCTGCAGCTGTATCAAACTACTACAGTCTGTGCCCCAGCTTTCGGGAATCATATATTATGGTACAAATATGGATCGTTGAAGGTTGCACACTTTATGTATTAATTATAATAACAACAAGTATAGTTGATTGATGGTGACTTACCCCACATAGCATTCCAGTGGTCGTCAATCCGGTGTTTATATGATATATCATTGCTTTGTTATGATCACTGCCACTGCTGGGAGCACGACATATGCTACAATTATATTATAATCTTGTTTAGCTTGTAATTCTTAAGCCCACATTGCATCCTATTCGATCAACATTAGTATCAAAAATTGCATCAGTATGTGTTTGTGTGCTTAGGTGAACAAGGTTTGAACGCGCCCGGTGCTCAAAGTGTGCTTCTAGGGCCCTTGTATCTTTAGAAGTTTGCAATGCTAATCAGCCCATGACAGTGTTCATTCATGATTGCAAACCTTTGAAATCGAATCCTTTTAAAGAGGGGAAATCTTACTTATGAACCATGTGAAATACTCGACCAGAAATATGGTGCTTTGAACACAATTGTCCGTCTGTGCTAAGTGGACGCTTCGACCTGAACGATGGTGATACGGGTGACATTTTGTCAATGTCTGGGTGCCAAGAAATTTTATCTGAGTGAGCCTGCTGAACTTCTTGATTACTTTGCTCAAAGACAATGGTTCAATATTATGTTTATGTGCATTTTTGCACCAGTGGCTAGTTGAACAGTTTGAGATTAATCACGCACAGAATCTTGGAAACAGTTCGAGCTTAATAATTGGTGACCTCTTGGATTCAACATTATCCACAATGCAAAAGTCCCAGCCAAATTTCAAATCAAACAAGGTATAGTGATACGACTCCCAGAGATAAATGCAACTCCACTCAACTGACCCTTTCGTGTTTGCAGCCAGCTGGCCGCCCAGGGCCGGGTACATGAAGATCATCATGCTGATCCTGCAATTGAAACCGGGAGGGCTCCTAATTGGGGGCCCTCCCTGCTCCAGTTTCGTTTGGGTCAACCGATCCACTTCCAAACGGTCTCTGCGCCGGGTGCTAGGGGATTCTTCAAGACAGTATGTGCGGGAAGCAAACCAGTACCTTTGGTTTTGCAACAGTTTCATCGTAAGATGTTTGATGGGATTTATTTTTGGGGTGTTGGGCAACCATCCCTTTTCAAACAAGTGTGCAATCCATATGGTATAATTAACAATATGATTTAGCTAAGCTTCGTTATAAAATATATTTTATATATTATAATCTTGAACTATCATTAGCATAATTATATATAATATATATAACAACACATATAATATATAACATATATTGTATGGCTATTAGTGATTACAGGCACTCCTACTAGTAAATGTCACATCCTTTGACCCTTACCCTCACTAGCTTGTTTATGTTCATTGTTATGTGAACACTTTGTTTTGGACATATCTTTTCTGGGACCAAGGATAACATGCAGATGGGCTCTCCTTGGACTTCTGGCAGTGTGCAGAGGATGTTGGTGGATCACCGAACAACCCCGTTCTTCCTTGATGCCTTTTATGGCCTACTTCAGGTTTGTGGCTTTGATGATCCGACCTGAACCATGGACCTCTGTGTCGTTGTGGGAAGCTTACCTTTGGTGTTGCATGGTGTTTCTCCCTGTTGGGCAAAATTTTGACATATGCCAGGTGAGATCAATACTGATTGAAGACAGCTCATTTGGGTATCGCATGAAAATTAGTTACCATTTGAATTTGTAGCATTCACAGGATTCCAATCTCCCACCAACATTAAAGAAAACAAAAACAAGTTCAGCTCTTTCTTGTCCTGCTGAGTCCTATGGGAGCGTATGGTGCAAAAACCAATAAGCCCAGCCTGTTGTTTGGAACACCGCCCCATCCTCAGAATTGCCCTGTGTCCTCGAGATCCTTTGACCCCGCCTCAGCAGAACCAGCGCTGAGGGCATGGTTGGAATCGTTGAAGTGCAAGCTTACTGACAAGGACAAGGCCCGAATCTTGAAGGCCAAAGAGAACAAGTCCAAGGCCATGGTGATTAAAAAAATCAACAAGAGGGGCCACACATCTGTGTGACGTGTTGGCATTAAAACTGTATTGGTTAGATTGATTTCATGATCTAGTTTATGTGTTTTTGTATTCGTTGCTGTCAACTGTCAATACAGTATTTGAATCTTTGGTTGGGGTATTTGGTATGTAGGTCGATGAACACTGCCTGTTGTCAATTACATTCATTGATGGATGTAAAACCTAATTTATTAATATGTCATTTGTTTTGGTGAGATGGTCAATCTGAACATTGACAGATGCTAGCCAGCCAAGGCAGGGGGGTCCTGGGATGCGAGCTTCAGCACAATATCCAAAGCGCTTTGCCAAGAAGATCTTCCAACTACATCAGAACGAACTTTGGATTTATATATGAATCTCTGTGCCACACAATCCTGTAATCTTAGATCTATATAATTTATAATATATAATTAATTAATAATATATATATATATTATATATTATTATAATATAATAAATAATGATTTATTATTAATTTAATATATATATTATAATTAATATATATATATTGAATATATATATATATTATATTAAAATAATATTAGATAACATATATATATATTATATATAATATATATATATATATTATTGATTAGGGGGGTTAGGCTCACCTTCCCACCATCATTCTGCTATCTCAGGCGCTTGCTTGTTCAGCGTCGCCTCCGACTTTTCCTGCTGGTGGGCCAGATGTGAACATGAAGGCCGCATATGGGTGGGTCTAGGGATAATAACAACATGTAATTCATGATGCATAGAAATGAATATACAGTATGTGGAAAAACTGTTGTATAGTCCATTGGAGCATGCAATGGGTACATTCTTTGTAGTGTTGCACTGTGGTGTGATGGGAACCGTTTATCAACTGCTTTGGCCAAATGGATGTGTTGATTCTGATTGGGATTATATGTTATTGCAATCCAAAAATATTGCGTATGCAAATATCATATATTGTACAACTGTTTGATTCTTCGTTCATTAAGGGTGTTGGGGAGTTGCAAATCTGAACCCAGTGTCAAATTTACAATGCAATCACTTATATAACAATGATGTTTTGCTGTGTGCTAGACATTTCGTTTGAGTTATGAATTGTGTGCCTACTCGATTAAACAGCAACGATATACTTTGAGAACAATTGTAATAATCAGTGCAGTATTTTGCTTGAGTCCATCCCAGGGCCCAACAACATCAGCCCCCCGTTCCCACTGCTGGTGGCAAAACTTAATTAATTTATAATAGTTGCATTTTATATCTTAAATAATATCTTTGATATACTATATATTTTAAGTTTATTATATACTAAATTTAAATAACTGTGTACAAAGACTTCCGTCGTTCTATTTCATCCTGACCTGATGTATTTGACCAACTGCGTCTATTGGGTACCCAAATTTGTTTACATATATACAGTTAGTACTTGGAAAAAATACATAAATTTCCTACATCAATCAAGTCAGTCCCCTATATATATAATATCAATCTCCAAATCAAGCATATATACTATATAATATATATATTATAATTATAGAATATAATATAATATAAATATATATATATATTATATTAATTATTATATATATTATATAATATATATATATTAATAAGTTTTAATATAATAATAATATATAATATGTAATATAATATATAATATAATTATATATTTGTTCAACAATATAATATATAATAAAATATTGAATAGTTTTTTAATTGAAATAATATTTATAATATATACAAAATATTGAAAATAGTACATTATATAATATATAATATATATATAATATATAACAATTAATTATAGAATTATATATATATGATATAATATATAATTAGTATATAATATATTATATATAATATTATCGTATATCATTCATTATAAATTATGAACTACACTACATGTTTAAATATCATATTAGCTAATGATATTTTTATATATATTATATATTATATAGAATATACATTATATATTTAATCTAGTTTGCTTTTGGGATCTGGCATAATATAAGTAAACAAAACATTATATTATGTATCTTAAATTAATGTATTAGGCATGCATACATGGTATATATGAATATTAATAATAACTATTGAATAATATATATAATAATAATACAATTTAATATTATAATTATAATATAATTTAAATTATATTTATAATTTATATTTAATTCTAATTAATTATTATATATATTATTGAATTGAATAATTTTATTATTATTATATTATTATATATTAATTATGTTTATGAATATTATATATATAGTTTATTTATAGAACATTTAATATCTACTAATTTATTTATGTTGTATATTTTAATTAAATTATTATATTATATGTGTGTGTGTGCCTTCACCCCTCGTGATGGCTAGGCCCCATATCGATGGCGCCATGCTGGCTTTGCACCTGTGAGAACCTTTTTGCAGGGGCAGGTGGAGGATAGACTATATTCACCTCTTCTGACCAAAGGGTTGTATGATGAGTTCAATTAATTTGAATCTACTTACCTGGGCTTGGGCCTGCATGTGCAGCACAGTTATCGCCATGCAAATTTGTGAATCCAGATGATGTAGAGCTCTATCGTCTTTTAGTCAGAGTCAAATTCAAAAGCGTTAGCAGGAAGATGCTCTGTCCTACGCATCAGTGGATGGGTAAATCAAATAGCCTTCATTGCAGTAGGACCATGTCATACTTGTTACAGTACTTTGTGGTGGGGCAGTGCTTTGAAACTGCTTTTCGGCGCTTGTTGCACCGTACCAACCAAATGGGTCACCTATGCAGCCCAGAGACACACAAGACCTTTTTGGGTCAACAGCTGGGAAGAAGTGCCAACATGGTGTGAAAAAAGTCTTGTTTTTTCCCCGTGGGGGGGGGTAGCGTGAAACAGCGTGAAACATGCGTGAAACATGCGTGAAACATGCGTGAAACACCTTTAAATGGCGTGAACCACCTTTAAATGGCGTGAACGACATATAGCAAAAAATCCCACTTTTTTGGACAGGTGCCATTGAGCGCGTACTGGGGAATGATGGTACTTTCTGCCAGAAAAAAATATAAAATCTTCCAAATGGGGTAAACTATTCCAAATGGCAAACGTGTGGTGTTTGGCATCATGTGTGGTGAACCTGTGTACTGTGGTAATTATGGATCAGAGGGTATCTAGGATCAGAGGGTTCTCCCGCTGTGGGCATGGCCAGTGGTGGGAATGAGCTTGTGAAAAAGCACTGGAAGCAGCAGCGGCCCGTGCCAGAAGGCACGCAGAACTAAATGCTGCAGCTACATGCATGGAACGGCTGCTTAATATACCACTTTGTCGCGAGACGCTCCCGTGGGGTTTTGCTTTGTGCAGGTACAAGTCTTAACTGCTACCAACCGTGTGTGTTTTGAAAATGCATATGCGATTGGCTCGAACTATCTTCCTGTTGAACCATATGCCAATACATGGCATTCATGCCAATTAAAGCCCTTGTAGGTTGTCATACACGTTTGTGTTCTGGTATTCTTCAAATGTTGAGTGAACTGAACTGCACACACTTGTGTGATATTGTGCATGCACGTAAATCCCAATAATATATAATTATATTATAATAATAATTTAGTAAATATAATAATTATAATATTAATAATTATAATATATAATATAATATTAATAATTAAAAATATTATTTATATATAATTAAATATAATATATTAAATTATGATATATTATCATAATAATATTCATATTAATAATTAAGTAACATATACTATAATATTTTATATTATATATTAAATTTGCATGCATGGATATTATAATTTATATGCGTATATTATATATGCTATAAATAATACTAGTAGTAATTTCATCATCGTGGATATTTTATATTATATTATATTATTATTATTATTTAATTTAAAATGCATAATATAATCTTAATTAATTATATTATATTAAATTATATTATATTCTATAATATTAATAATATATTTTATATTATATCATATAATATATTGACCGATCTGTTTTAATTAAATCATATATAATATATATATATATCATATCAATTTCGATTATAAATAAAATATAAAATATATAAAAATATATGTTAATTAATATATAATTATAATAATATAATAATAATATAATATATTTTAAATATTAATATTATATAATAATAATTATTATATATTTTATTATTATATATTATATAAGAATAGATTTACCAATATAATATATTATAAAATTAAATTAAAATCGTCTTATATTATAAATTATTTATATTTTATAATTATTATATTATTAATAATATTGCTTTCCCTGCTCCCCTGCAAGGTTGAACTTTGAGGGTGGTGCCGGCAAAAAAGTGCCTGCTGCTGCCAGTGCGGCTGCAATGTCACCACCTGTGGCAGGCCGTGCTTCTGGATTGAACCAATGTACTTGAGTGTTTAAGGTTTGTTTTTGTTGTGATGTGGGTTTGTGATTTAGATGGTACGATGTGATCTTGATAAACGGCTGCATACTTAAAATCACAACAAAGCATGTTGTGGTCTTGCATTGTAGCCAGTTCAACAAAATGTTATTCAACCTGTTGTGCTTTGGTTGCACACCAACTTTTGTAGATTCATGTTCCCACCAAACCATTAAGAACTAATATTATATCTGATGTTGTCATCCCATTGCGTTTTTTCTTGTAACCCTCGATCTTCAGAAAGGAAATTGAATTACTCATCCTCTAGGATCTCAATCAATTTGAAAACACTACTCTACACCGGACAGATGTCACTGTTTTACGTTCTTGTAGTGCAACTGGCATAAATAAACAATCCATATAATAAATTTATATAAATTATATTATTTATATAAATAACATATTAATAATAATTATATTAATAAATTATATGTGTTCGTGTTACTTATGTATGTTTAATAAAGCAAACCCCACATAAACCCCACTGTGCCTGGGTATACCTAATTGCGTGCGCAGGAGCCGCAAGCCCTAGTGCTGCCACAGTGCACTACTCCGCGGACGAGTTGGAAGCAATGCTGGAGGAGACCCATGCAATCTTCACCCCACCAGATAGGATCCGTAGAAACCAGTCAAAGTCAAATCAGGATGCATCGAATCCCAAGGTATCACATCCCCGCAAAGTCAGGAAACGTTTCGGTAAGAAAAGGGCATCAAATGGCCAGCCGTCTGAGAAATTGAAATCCCAGACAGCAGCTGAAGATCAGACCACAGCCGAGCAAGCACCCCCAGGTGATGCACCACCTGCTCCTAGCAACAGCACACAGGCAAATCCCCCAGAGCAAGCTGTTCCTACCCCGTCCCAGGTTGGAAGTGACGCTGACAGCACTGCACCACAGAAGCTGACTGCTGCCAAATCTTTGGCAGCCCCCAAGGTGAAAAGCAATCATGATGCTGGTGCTGGTACTGCCCACCCACACATCAAACAAGAACAACCGGATAGGAGTGCAAAGTCGGAAGCTCTTGCAACAAAAGAACCAACAAGTGCAGTCAGGGAGCGACATGTTGCCACTGCTGCCGCTCAGAACTTAAGGAGGCCAAGCCCCCACCAGCAATTGGGAACACCCGTTGCCGAACGTGCGTCGTCATCCAACCAACAGGCACCCACTCCAACCCCATCCGACCCACCACAACCCAATGGACCCGAACACAATCCTCCACCAACCGTGCTCCCACAGGACAACCCACCATCCCAGACACCACAGCACAACCCACCATCCGAGCCACCACAGGCCAATCCGCCACCATCACAGACCAGTCCACCTGCCAATCCACCAGCCAATCCACCAGTGGTCAACCCACCCGAGCCCAATCAAGCGCAACTCGCAACCACTCAGCAACCTCATCAATCACAACAGATGACACCTAGTGGGACAACACAGAGCCGGAGGCGACGACAAAGGACGCTACAGGAGAAAGCGAATCATGCACGCTTTATGCGCTTCACCCGACACATCAAAAGCCCTTCAGTTGCATATAACATGAACCCTACTTCGGAGTGTTTGTGCAAGAAATGATCTTAATTCATCTAATTTGTATTATTAATATAATATAATATAATATTATAATATATATATATAATAATATATACCCTGGTATATATTATATGATATATAATATAAAATATTAGATGCACAATTAATATCACTGATTATGTGCACACTTGTTAACTGGATTGTGTTGAACTATTTAATACCCTTGCCCATATAACATATAATATAATATACTGTGTTTGGGGCTGTCCACCTTCAATGATTTTGATACTGCCCAGTTGTTGATCACAAATAGAATGAATCCATGCATGCAGTTACAGTTTTGAAAAAGATACTCTTGCAACCACTGTGTGGCTAAGATCATTCACCGCCGGAGATCCAGAAGGCCCATAAGGCAGCAAAGTACTGCATCTTGGCTTTGATTTTGTTACCTCGTCCATTTGCTCACCCACCCGCAAGGATATGGATGCAATGTTCAACACAAAAATACCAGATTTACCATGCATGGATGTGATGCCGTGCTTCAATCATTTTGTCACAGAGAACATGCTTTGTATGTAGTGGGTGTTTGCTTACTTGTGTGGTTGGTTGGTTGCTTGGGTGGTTGGCTGTTTCTTTTGCTTGTCTTTTGTACGTATTATATTATTATGATATATTATGTAAATATTATATATCGTTTGTTTGTTTCTTTGTTTGATTGTGTGATCTACTTCGTAGACATAGGTATGTGTGTGCGTGCCTTTATGTTTTTGGTGTTTGACCAGTACTACCATATATAAACAATATCATTTGTGCTTTTTGGGGTTCTACGATGTCCCGTTGATATTATCTTCATCTCAGCATCTCACAACCGGCCAAGGTAGTGGCAAGCTACAGGTACTGATGGAGGAATGGATGGCAACAGCCGGGGACTGGCGAGAATCCAAGCTGTACCAACGTATGACAGCCAAGAAGACTGAAAGAAAACACGGAGCACGGGTGTGGTTAACCCGTGCACAGCTCTTGATGAAGTATGGAAGTCAAGAAATCGTAGAAGAAATAGTGACCGCAAAACTGTCAGACCCGGAGTTGAAAGAATCCCATACGAAGCCACACCCAGACGCGCCTCAGAGTGAGGCCAGGTAAATGATATTTTGGCTCAACTGGGGTGGTCACACAATACTCACATGCACAAGTGATGCATTAAAAAAAAGAAGAACCATTGCTAATTATTGCCAGCTAAGTCCTAGGATTATAGCCGATAAACACAGTGTGAGAACAGAATGCACAGCCAAATGCGTATCTTATGTATATCGGGTTATAAAAATGGCCGTTGCTGCTTGCAGGTGCTTCGCCTTTTCTTGGTCTGGGATTCCGAGGGCATTGCTGAGTCTGAGGACAAAATATTGGAAGAAATCTTCGAATCGGTGGATGCTGATGATGGTGACAATGACACCGACGATGACTCAGGTTCCTCGGGTGATGATAGGAAAAAACCAAAAAAAGGTGTGAAAATCGAGAAGAAGAACAAGAAACGCAAGAAGTCGAGCTCGAGTGATGATGGGTCGGCTAAGAGTGTGGATTCGTCAGGATCCGAGGCCAGTTTGGGAGTCATCATTGAACATCCTTGAACATTCCTCTCGAAAACACTGCTGGATCCACATTGAAAAAATACATTCACACGACGGGGGCAACCAATTTTGAAAATAGTGGCTGGTTTGTGGTAAAAATGTGATCGATCTTTTAGCCTTTGAATGCAGTATTGTACATTAGCGGTTAATTCAAATTAGGTTCAATTCTCTGCATCAGGACAACAAGAAGAAAAAGAAAAAAAAGAAGGGTAAGAAGGCTAAGAAGGAGACAAAGCAGCAGAAGGAGAAACGATTGGCCAGGGAGAAGGGCAAGCGTGAGAAGGAAGAGTTGAAAGAGAAGGAAAAAGCTGAAAAGGAAATTTTGACCAAAGGGAAGAAGGCTCCCATGATCAATCTTTGTAGGTCTGGTTTTGCACCACATGCCTGTTTTCCCCATTTGATATCAAAGAAATTGCTTTCTCAAGGGCCACATTTCTATTGGATAGGATCATTTTTTCAATTGCAAGAAACATCCTGGGCAACACCATGCCATTATTCCTGCGATATCTTATTCAGTATACCACACATTTAAAAAAGTGCAACTTAACCGTGACATATGTAGATCCAATCAACCATTTAACAGCACGGTGCCCAGATCATGAACAAGATCAACGACGACATCTCCCTCGCCTCTAAGAAGGAAAAACTGGTCGCAGATATGTTGGGAACCTTGGGGCCGAGGTAGCTTGATGTGGTCCTGGATGGGGTGCCTAGTTGGGATTAATTTGAAAAAACATCGTAGCCACTTACCACTTGAATAAATATATTTAGAAGATCATCAAATCATAAAAAACCAACCAATATTCCTACCAATTTGTTGGATATTGCATAAGTTCTGATCTTGCTGTATACCAAGAACAGCTACGTAGCATACTGAAGCAGTAGCAAAATGTAGCAAACAGTGATAGTGCTATTTATTCACTTATACATGCAAGTATGACCCAACAAATAGAAACAGTGTATTGGATTACAAGCACATGATGTTTTCCAAACAATACATTGCATCTATTGGCATCACGTGTTTGCATTTGCATACCACAATTCGGTACTTGGTACAATACATTGATCTAATATATAATATATATATTATATTTTATATCACAACTATAAATTAAATTAGTACATGTTATTTATTTATTTATATATATATATATATTTAAAAATGTAATATTATAATTAATATATGCAATGCAATATATAATAATTACCCTAATATATAATATTTAATTTTAGATATAATATAATATATAATATAATAATATTATAATATTAAATTAATTTATAAACTTAAAATGGCACACAATACAACTGATCGTTTCGTGGTTCAAATATGATCATCCATGATAAATTCATACGATCTACATGTGATAATGTGGTTCAAAACAGTTATACTCTAGCTAGTTTCTATGTAGTCATTCATTCGTATTTCATTAATTCGATCATATATAGGTTTTGCATTCCACGGATGTGAGCACATGTCAAGTTGTCCGCATTATATTATAATAATATTGAATCATAACAATATAATTTATATAATTAATATAATATCATATTATATAAAAATCAATTATATAATATTATTAATATTTAATAAACACACATTTTTTTGGAAAAACATGTGTTCAAGGCTTGCATTCCAAGCATGATAGCTATATCCCCAGCCCCTTAAGTGTATGCCCAAAAATATTGTTTGGCGTCAGCCAGCATTTTTGATTCTGATGTTGGGAGTTCATAAGCAATCAGGGTTTCATACTACCACAGGGTTCTTGCTCAAAACGCATAAGGAGTATAATTTGGGGAGTCCCCCACATTATGGCAGCACCAGTGTTTGCAATATATATCTCAGTGAAATACCCCTTTGGAATCTCATCATTGTGGTGCTTTCCAAGCAGATCAAATTTAGAAACTCGCATATTATATGTACACTAAATAAATTAAGTTGTTCAAGAAAAAACTTCTACTACTTCTGGGCCTGTTTGTTGTTCTATCCCAACCGAATTTTATCTGCCTCTTGGAGGTGTACCCTAACCCTCAAGCCATTCCACAATTCCCCATTGACCATCATGCAATCTTTGGGGTTACTGATTGGGAGTATTCAGGAATATGATAATAAAACAATTAGCAGCAATCTGTTGATTTCAAGTAATTAATTACAGTACGCACTATCATAATCTTAAATTACGAAGAATGTAAAAAATCATATGCCCAAATTGCCTCATTCCCCATACATTTTCAGGGTATCCTAAGCCACACTCCCTGTCGGGCCCGACCACTCTGGTTTCTAGGGCCCCACCAACGTTCTCCAAGATCCTGCGCTCAGGCCTGCGATGCTGCGTCAAGCGATTGAGGGGGAGCTTGCCCAGTTCCGGCACAAGCTGGTCAGGTTACGTGACAGGTTGCAAAGGCAGGTGGACAATCAAGACGTTACTTGGATGAAATTCTTCGTGAAGATATTTAATAACGATATCATTCTTACTCTCGGAATATTGGTAAATCAATTTTTGATGGGGAAATTATGGTTTTCAAACCACAATTCAATCAAAGCATATCAAAGCTGTGCGCAATGCCTGCTAGATGTGCATATCATCAATACTGTGAACATATCGATCGATCTATTTCACATATTATGCATGTGCATGGCACATCATGTATATTATGGCCTTATGGCCAAACTTATTTGATGCAAATTACTTTGACAGCGACACTTTTGCTAATCAGGTGACGAACTTGGAAACTTTGATCGCTGATGCTGAAGCTCTTGAGTCGCAGTTCAAAGACTTTTTGTCCAGGGCAAGTTTGAAGTGATCCCAGGACATGTCATGCGACGTTTTGATATGGTATTGCAGTTGGTGTCACATCTGGCTTTTGAACAGCGTGGCGTATCTGCATAGTCTTGTGCTTGCAAGTGGGAGGTAGGATTAGCTGCCACTTGTACTATTATCCAAGCCTCAGCTAGCATGTTGCTTGGCGCATGTTTCTCCCAATGATGCCTTATGAATTTTCTAAGTGATGCAATTTCGCTTTGAAGATGCTTCCCGGGGAGTCAAGCACACAAATCCAGCAGGTGCAGTCCACTGTTGTGATTGTCAGTTAGGTGGCTCCATATGGCTAAGTACAAACTTGGCAATGCGCACATGTATGGCAAGACCAGGAAACAAAGGGGCAAAATGCTGAAGTATTGATTGGGTTGCTGCTGGTTGAGATTAGGTGCCATAGGTTCAAAATCACCACAACTGGATTCACCACCCGTTTGTCAAGATAGGATGTTTGTCTGTGTTGTTTCTCCTCTTTAAGGGTTGTGCTCCCTCGCAGGTTCTGATGATGAAGCAATGTCTGGAATGCTGGCAAACTCCATCGATGAGATCAGTGGTGGTGTCCCTTGGCATTCTTTGAATGCATCATCACCCAAAACGGTTTTGTGCAAGTTTTGCAGGTGCCCGTAATTTTGCTATATATTTGCGTTTCTAAAAATTGTTTTGGCATTGCATTGCGTGCAGTCTTCTGCAACACTTGGAGCAAAATTGGCATGTAATACTTATACCATTATTGGAAAACAATAGCGCGCTATATTGCTATATGCATGCACAAACTATAAATCAATATCAGTATAGTATCCAATACAACTACTATATTATGTTGCCATACATGGGTGTGTCAATTTCTTTATGAAAAGTACGTATATTGGTTTTAAGTGTCATGCCATCCCATCTGCACTCAGGGCTCTACTGTTGGAAAAGAGATGCGGTCGCTGAAGGCCCACGTCGCTGATCCTCGCCAGCAGCATCAGCGTAGGGGCTGAACCATGTGTCGAAATTTGACTGCATATTATTATAGTAATAATATTTACATGCATGCATATATTGCATGATGTTTATATTATATTATTTATAATTTATATTTTATATTATCCATCAACGGTATGGAACCGACTACAATAGCACCAACCTACGACAAAATCAATATATTGATTGTATCTTGGTTTTGCCAATGTCTTCAAAATCAAATATGTTCGATCATGATGATCCGGAAAAATCATCTTTTCCCATGCGCCATAGAAGATGGATTGTGTATCATAATATATATGTCATAAGAGGAATAATAAAAAAAAACGGTCTCGATTTAGACATGTGGTGGTCGGGTTTGATTTGATGATCTTTTGCGTTAGCATTCATGGGAGACATCTCATCATCTATTACTCACCTAAACCATGTATAAATCGACCAAACTCCATTAAAAAATGGATGGGTAGTTGTGCCTTTAACCTTTGTTTGATGACTTATCCAAACACAGTTTCCATATAAATTGAATGCACACGTGTCAAACAATCTTCACAACGGCTCATTTGTAAGTCTCAACGGATCAACTATTAAGATTATGGACGACAGCTATCATCATGATGCAGTATTCTGGCAAGCTATTAAACTACTACTGTTCGTCCCATGTACTTAAAAAGAGTTATGCCTGGTGTGTGGATGCCTGCCAGGATTCCAAAAATCGTATCACCCACCATATGACCAATCGGCTGGGCTCGGTGTGTGGAAAGAATGCAGCCCGGGATTGGTGGAGATGCATGAAGGATGGACCAGTCACTGGGATTTATTGAAATATTAACCGTTGTTTGTCATATATAATATTTATTATAAATTATATTATATTATATATTATTGTTGTATGCATATATATGTTGTATAGCAGTTAAATTATTTTTGGTTTCTTTTGGGTATTATTTCTTGCCAGTGAGAATCAACCATATCCGATATGCGAAAGTTTATATATAAATAAAATAATAATAATACTATGCCAAGAAGGCCTTCGACGCCAAAGTTTTTTTCATCAGCAGTCAGCCTAGTCAGCACACCAAGGCAATCGAAACTGTCCAGGTCCCCATCAAGTACACTGATGTGGATGATGGTATTGAAAAATTCAAGATGGAGGACTGGCCCTTTATTGATCCCCATTCCATTGCTGACTTCCTCTTTGAGCGCGCGGGTTTGAGAATTCCATCTGTAAACCTGCAAGAATACTGGCAGCACCATGCTCGCTTCGGCGAGCCCTGGGCAGTTGATGTTCCATTCGACTGCTTGCCGCTTGGCATCTATGGAGACGCCGCGAGAGTCCACACGAAATTTGGATCCACAAACATGATCGGGATATGGTTTAATATTCCATTGTGGAAGCCGCAGTCGGTACGTGCTAGCAGGTTCCTGGTGGCAGTGGTACCAGAACACAAGACTTGGCATCATTTCACAATTCAAGTTCTCCTTAGGAGGGCGGTATGGTCGCTCAATTGTCTGATAGATGGTGCACATCCCTTGGCTGGGCCCTACAATGAGCCATTGCCCCAGCACTTGCAACAAGTGGCTGGCCAGGCCTTCAGATTCAAGTGCCGCATGACTGAGATCCGAGGGGATTGGCAATGGCATAAACGGACCTTTCGCTTCAAAAATTGCTCATGGAATGCAAAGGAGATTTGCTATCATTGTGGAGCATTGTCCCAGTCAGATGATGGCAAGGATCTCTATTGGGTATATGAGGACAACAATTGGAGTTCACCTTTTACAACAGCAGAGTTTTTGGAGAAAAGAATTCCGGAACGTGGTGTTTGCTTCTTGGTTTGTTTCAAGCCATTGTTTAAAACTTGTCTTTACCATTTATTGGATGGTAGGTGGATCAAGCCAGTTTGCTTGTTGTTGATTTTTCTTTCACAAGCAAGGCCCCTTCATTGGGATCAGACACTTTCATCCCTCTATGATCCGTTGGTGCATGATGCATGTGGTGCACCTTGGGTTGCTGTTTGTGTGCAATGGCAGTGCCATGATTCTAGCATTTATTACCCAATTTTTTCTGTTGGCCGCAGTGCCACACCTCCAAAGCAGCCCTGCACGAGTATTTTTTTTCGGCGCAAATGGCAAAATGTGTGCCCTACACATTTTTCCACCAAGGAACTTGCTCCTGAGATTCGGTTGGTTTGGAGGTGATGAATCTACGACAGGTATGAAGCTGGCCAGGGCCTACAAGCGGTTCAAAGAGTGGACTGCTGAGCACAAAATAGAATGTTCCCAGCCACCTTTTTCAGAGAAAATGGAAGCTTGGACTATGGTTTTTGGCTCTTGTTCGGCCAATTGTTTTTGCATAAAAAGCGCATGTTTTGTTTTGAGGAGAGCCATAGGCAGATGACATCAAAAAAAGCAAATGTTTTTTTTGCTTTTTGGAAGCACGTGTCCTTCTGCAATCTAAGATCTTCAAGAAGAATTCCGATGTCCTTTTCACAGCCAAAGCGTACAACGGCCGCATCATCCTGGAGTGGCTCACCCATGAAGTGTATGCGGCAAGCACTAGTGAGGGAGCTGCAGAGTTTGATTCGCGCTTTCATTTGATCGCTGCTGCATTGATGCTTTTTATTGCAAAGCAGTTTTTTCTTACCCACCAAAAAATAAATTTTGAGATTATAATAAACGCACAACAATCCCCCATTAGTATGCCGTTTATCGACATTGATAGAAGCCCGATTGATACTCATGTCAAATATCATATCATCCAAGATAATATTTATTAAATAGTACTACACACCGTAAAAAAATATGGTTTGGTCATATTTGGGGATGCTTCTTATAATTTGGGACCCAGTGCTGCCAACCCAACTGTCCTGCTCAGGAGATTCATGGCACGGTTCCTGGGCAAGTGTGAGCGTGCTGGACGATATCTGAAACTTGGCTTGTGGCACCGGGATAGGGGTTCAAACAGATTTCATTCAAAGCCTATCATCCTGTGGGTAATTCATAACATCTGATATATGCTAATACTTTTAAATTTATCTGATTTATTACCTTGGCTTTCCACCCCTGAAATTATTATTATCCTATTGATGGTCTTGGGGGTGATACTAAGCTGGATAGATTCAAGCTTACCAAAAAGAACAAAAAACAAAACAACACATTTCGGGGTGAACCTAGGACGGAGGAAGAATCCCGATCAATCTTTGAAGATGGATATCAGTTCCTGAAGATCTACAAGAGTCTAACATGCACCTCACTAAGGCTGGGCCCTATATATATGGTCTTTACTTGAAGGATTTATGTTCCCGCAATCTATCTGGCCTGACTTCTTTGTTCTTTGCATCATATTCCCAAGCACACATGGATCAGGCTTGGTATCCAGGAATGTTTTCAACACAGTTTATTTTCTTGGCATCACTGATATGAATCCATGTTTGATGTTCTGCTGTTTCATCAATGCATCAGTCAGAAGAATGCTATCATGTATCTCCTTGAAATTGATTCAGCTCAGGGATTCTGGCACCTGTTGGTCACCGTAAGAGACCAAAGAGCCTTGTCAAGAACTATGTATTATATAATAAAAAGTCAAATCATAACAATAGTATCAGCTCCATATTTGATCTTTTGTTGCCGTGGCCCAAAGTCTGCCACCCCAGCTGAGGATCAAACCCACGTCATTTCCATGGGTTCGTAGATGAGGATGGAATGTCGTGGATCAAATGAAGCTCCATTGCACTAGAATGGGCAAACAAATTTGACTAAGTTGATCATTGTGTCAAACAAAAGTGATCATGACTGATAATGTTTAATCTTCATTTGAAGATTTTGTATTCTGATTTATGCCCCTTTCATTTGCTTTTAAATCATAGTGCCCATGCAGCATGTTCATACATGGTTGCATTATAAATATAAGGTGTGTATTTACGAGCGCATCCTCTCCGTGCAGTCCGTCACATTACCCGCTGTGGGAGATTGAGGAGATTTTAAAAGCATATTTTGTGATATTATATTATATGTTGATCAGGTTTGCTGCAGTGGATGTGTTTTTTTCATTGTGTGATTCGGTTCCATAGGTGCGTGTGCAAATGTGCAGGATTTGGTCAGCGCATCTTAAAATCAAACAGTGCCTCGTCATGTGAAATTCATGAAAGTTATCTTCATTTTCCATCAACGCAGTTATTACAACAGCTAGAAAGATCAACTTTGATGGTGAACTGATTTTAACCTAAGTGACCCTTGGATACAAATTCTTGCTTTCACCTCAGGTTCAATCGATATGTTGCTGAAAGATTGGCCCGAAAGCGTGGCTGAACACTTGTGATCTCAAGTGGCAAGGGGTGAAAATTGGAGCGCTCTTTGGGAAGGGCCCCCCCCTTGACGAACAAAGGTGGTTAATAGAACGACCGTTCTTTTAATAGGGGGTGGAAAGCTAGGGTATATATATATATTTCATATCTCGCATATTCCCATGAAATATCCGTGAAGTCTCCCCTCCTTCCGGATGGTTTCCCTGGCAGGTGCAGGCTCAAACCGGAGGTGTTGGAGTTGACGCCATTTTGGCGTTAGAAATGGACCTGAGTCCTGAGGACTGCTGAGTCCCTTTTTGGATGTCATTTTATTGGGGAAGATGCTGCATTTTGGGGAGACCCCAGGATACCCCGAGGATGGCAATCTTATAACTATAACTTATACAATACTTATACTATCTTACACTATAAGTCTTATACTGTATCGTTTTAGATGATTATTAGGGACGATAACGGTCAACTATAGGATTTTGATGGATTTTGGGGTGCTATATTTCCAGAAAACACCCATATTAGTGCCTGCAACCAACGCCGAGGAGAGAGCATTTGATGCTGCAGGTGATATAGATGCTGCTTGTGTGGCACGCCCCCCAAGGATGTTTAGCTGCAGTCGGAGGACTTTACAAACGCCGATAGTGGAGTTCAGAGGCCTAGATTTTCGTTGATGGCTTGAAGGGAACCGTAGTGGTCGATAGTGGTGGATGGTGGTTGACAGATGTTGATAGTGGTTCGGTGGTTCATGGCAGTTCATTATGCTGATGAATGCTCAGGATGATTGATTAGCATTATATTGTTGATTGATGGTTGACGAATGCTGATCATTGTGGTTGCTTTCTCTGGGTGACAACACGTATTTTGATTCTTGTGGTTGATATGTTTGTTATACAATATGTATATATATATATAATATCTAATACAGTAATGCGTGTGCATATATATATATATATATATATAACACATACACATACATGCATGCATGCATGCAGGCAGGCAGGCAGACAGACAGACAGGCAGACATACGTACGTACGTACACACATACACCCATACATGCATACATGCATACATTGCATACATGCATGTGGACCATGATAGAAGTCCATAGATGCTAATGGTGGCCTGCTCACCAGCTTGATGCCAGCTTGCTTTCCCATGGTCCCATGGCCGCTCCAAGGCCCTAGAACCAGCACCACGGCAGCAGAGCCTGCTCCGAAGCCTCATTGGGGTGTGGCACCTCAGCTCACGTCGCTGGGAAGTTTGACGGTATGGAGGGAGATGTGCGATGCCTATCCAACATGTATACATGTTGATATATATATATATATTATATGATTATATGTAAATTAATGCATATTTATTATATATGCATTGGATAAGATATGATAAACTACACTGATTGACAAACCTTCGAAATTGCTTCCACAATCCTAGACATCATCAAACATGCCTATTGGGTTTTGGTGTCCTTCCATGGGCGTTTTTGAGGCCATGGCTTTGGGCGGTCGCCTGGTGACCAGCTCTGGAAAGATGGAGATGTCACCGGATGATGCCCAGCACCTCTGGGCCAAAGAGTTGGGGCTTCCTGGTGACCAACTGGGTGACTGGGTGGGGGTTGGAAAAATTTTTGGGGCAACCAACTTGTTGATTGAAGATGATTAAATTTGGCTGTATGATGTTGTATGTATGTTTATATATACATATTTACATATATATATAGATATATGATATACATATTTACATATATATATATATATATATACATACACACGCATATATATACACATATATATATATATACATACATAAGCAACCATATATGTGTTTTGGTACAGGTTCAGCTTTCCATTGGATGTCACCGCATGAGTGTGGCTGATGCGCTTGATTTAACAGCTTCAGGTGCTCCATCTCCTTTTTCAACCCTCATTGCATGCTCAGCCCTCGGGATGCCATAGCGGATGGAGCTTTTTTGAACGATGACAGAAAAGGGTTCTCACCCCAGTGTGTTTAGTTGGATATCTTTGTTTTTTTGCTGCCATAGCCTTCTATGATGGACATCAATGTGAGGCCCCTGTCAATGCTTCGACACGGTGAGCTGCTGCATGCAGCTACAGAGGTTTGCAGTCAAATCGTGTCAGGCCAGTTGCTGAAAGATAAACATGTTTTCAACTGTTTTAAACCGTTACAGTAGAAATCCATATGAAAATTATGAAACCAGTAAGACACCATCCCCAATGACCTCCAGTAGCGTGGAAATGGGTGGCGGTGGAATTCGCGGTGGAATTCATGCCATCCCCAGAGGTCTGCCATGGGGTTTGCCACAGCTGGGCGGCTGTTCCACCGTGTAGTGAAAACAACTCATTGATGCGGATTCTTCATGCACGAAAGGACATAGGGAGGCCCAACTCATTCGCACATGTGAAGTAGAAGCAAACTTGGGTACTGTAGTATTTTCCACCTTGCTCAGGTGAGTTGTGTGTCGCTGATTCTGAAGTTGCGCAGTTTTGCATTGGGCTGAGCAGTTCCGAACTGGCCATGGCAGTGGCAGCAAAAGTTTGCTGATAAATGTATTGCATTGGTCACATCTTTCTGGACATTGTCAATCCTTGCTTGCATCCGCCTGTGCAAAATCCAGTCTTGGGACTTTTTGCTGGCAAGTGCCTGCATTGATGAATGAATAGTCAAGTCTTTGCTTTCGTTCAATTGTAGCTTCGGATGACTGAACCTCTAGAAGAATCCGCAAGAAAACCGGAATATATATAGTTTCTTTTCTCCAGCTGGCGCCTTTATCTCGAGCATATTTTATTTTCAGTGATTTCCTTTTGCTTCATTTTGCCACGATCTTAGATCTCTTTGATCAATTCCAACAAGCTCTGGATGCAGCAAGCCACAAGTCAGAAACTCAGAGCTGAAGCATTCTGGAGCCAATATCTGAAAAATCGTCTGGTTGAGAGGTTTCAGGTAGTTGATATCCAGAAAAGGCAGCTCTTCACCGGGCACCAGGCAGGACTTGATTGATTCGGGTACTAAGGCTTTCAGGGGTCCGAAAGTATAGCAGCACTGATGCTTCAGGCGCACTTTCAGATCTCCATTCTTTGAGGTTTCAAGCTATTTTGATTGGTATTTCCAATCCTGTTTGGGGTGATGATCACCATTTTTTCTATAATTATGTACTTTTTTCAGATGCATTTCCAGCATTTGCTTTTGCAAATGGATTGAGTTGAGACCACCAACCACAGGCTCGCAACTTGTGACCCTGCTGCTGTGATGATCGCCGGAGCTGTCGTAGAACAGCTGTGCTAAAGTGCAGAGCCTTCCACATCCAAAGAGATGCAGTTGCGATGATGTGGAGAACAGTCTGAGTTGTTTCTTGAAATATCTTGAAATGACATGAAATGACAATGGAAGGTAGTTTCAGTATGAAGATTCCAGAGTAGTTCCCCCCTGAATCGTGACCTTGTTGGTCTTAAAATATGTGTTGTGTTGTGTGCCCGCCGAGGGAAGCCTCAAATACACAGACAAACAAAACACTGCGCATCGGAATCCTATTGGAAGATTTGGGCATCAGCACAGAAGGTTTAAAAGGTTGAAGCACTGGCATCAGCACAGGGCTATCCAGGGCATCAGCACAGGGCTATCCAGGGCCCAGGGCCACTTTTTTTTTTCGCGGAAGTTCGGAGAACCATAGACACAAAGGAAAACTGCCCTAGGACTTGAAAGGATCCTTCCTCCATACCATAGGAATATCTAGGGATTTATGTAGAATCCATCCTGCTTCATAGCTGAGAATTGCTTGACCCCATGGCAACTGTGGATGTTGATGAGCTGGAGCTGATACTTCAAGATGAAGCCCAACAAATCTTGGCTGATGAGGCAAGGATTTCACCGGCCGGCAGCACTGCAGGGGATGCCACATTGGAATTGATTAGCTTATCAAAAGATATCAAAAGTGAGATTAACACATCAGATGAAAAGGTGATCAATGTATATCAATGTTCCAAGTCTTCAGTTTTTTGTCCCACCCAAAAAACCGCCCTTTGATTTGAGAACTTAAAACCTGATCTTTCTAAAAGTCAAGTGGATTAAGTTGGTGAATTCCCCATATGTGAGTGGTCCAATCTGGATACGCCCCTCTTGGGTGATGTTTACTAGCTTTACCACTAAAAAGTGTCCCGAATCACCATGTATGATTCGCAACATTCCAGTGCATCATGGTTAACTCCGAAGTTAACTCCCAACTTTCATTGAAAAAAACTGCCAATTCCAAGTTTTTGATGGTTAATTTCCCATGTTTCATGTTTTTTCCATGGTTAAACGGTTAAACCAGTGACATCTCCCAAAAAATCCGTGATTTTCCGGCGCGCCGCTAGGCCTTGGCGCGGCGCCTGGCACAGGAGATGCAGAACTCTCCGGTGCAGGCCTCGCTGGGGATTTGCTGGGGATTTGCTGTTCGTTGCTGGGGAGTTGATTGAGAATAGATCTGGGATAAGTATGGATAAGTAGGTTGCAGACCCGAGAAATCCTGAGTTGAGTGCTATTGCTTAGTTTTTTATGGTAACCTGGCTAGTTTGGCTTATCACTTCATGTTACTTCTAACATTTTATAACCACGTTGATCCCATCACTCCAATCAGGCAAATCCCACTTCCCCTGTTGATCATCAGATTTAGAAGCTATATTTGGAAAGTAGATGAAAGTAGGATGTTCAGCACCAAGCATCCTCTTGAAATCTCAAATTGATTGATATTTTTTGGATGGGCCGAGAGCACCAACCAGATAGAACATCTCAGCAGCTTTGGGAGAAGACAAAAGGCTCAGGCATTGGGGTTAGGGGTTGCCAAGTTGGGCAAGCCCGTTTGTCACTTTGAGAGCTAGTAATTTTCTGGTAATATGAAAGACGTTTCAGTTTTTGCTTTTGGTGCATTTGCCGTTTCCCTTGTGAGGGTCGGAGGCCGTCTCTGGACGTGGACATCAAAGTGCCAACATGTGACGTCATTTGGCTGTGGCTAAGAGCTACCCTCTGGTTATTTAACATAGCCATGGAAAATGGCCCATTTATAGATGATTTTCCCAGCTAGAAGCCTCCATTTATAAGGGATTTTCCATGGCTATGTTAGTCATAACCAGATGGTATAGACCTCACTTCCCCAATTTCACGGTACTCTCCAATCAAACATGGCCGGGATCTTCCGCCAGGTGGATTCAGACAGTCCAGTGAGAACGAAGCGAAAGCGGGCCCCAAGTTTCTGCGCTGCAGTGGATGCGTAAGGCACCCACTGTTTTAACATGTTTGTTGGATTTGGGCTACACATCACATTGTGTCTATGCCGATATGCCATTGAATTCATTTCTTCAATTTTGTTCATACACAAAAATCATGTTATGTTAAAATATGTTAACACCACATGTTTGATGCCGAAAGGATCCCCAGTTTTTTCTGGGCGTTTCGTTGACCCGAGGTGTGGACCTGGATCCAGTCTTGGCCGTGCCCGAGGAGTCGCTCTCAGAGGCGGCAAAGGAAGAGGTGGAAGAACTGCCACGGAGCTGCAACAACCGCTGGAGCCCCCAAAAACCATGGGGTTTCCCATGGTTTCCCTGAAGGATCTAGTGGGTAAGAAATGGTAAGAACCAATTGCCCCCTGAAAATATGGTGATTTCAGTGATTTCAAATTTTCGGGTGATGTCATCAAGAAGAACTGGGCTGTTTTCTTGACAAGAGTATGGAATTTTAGTCCATCAAACATGTTTTTTCAGAAATGGGGATGGGTATGAAAAGAAAACGTCAGCGTCAAAGATATGCCATCCGTTATGGGAATTTTTATGGGTATTATATGGAAATTATGGAACCAAAGTGTACAATCCTCACAGTTCTGTTCATATCAGCTCCAAATGACCCCAGGTGGGCTCGATGCTTGAGAGGAGACGAGGCCTTGGAGAACTTGGGCGACTCCTATGACCAGGTCTCGGCGGAGGCAGATGTTTGGAGAAAACCATAAGAATTGGGTAGATCAATCAGCATGTTTAAGGAAAGTCCTGAAAAATGCTTACCAGATCTATATATATGATATACTGTATCCAGTATGAATATGCTTATGTAATATATATATATTATATTATATTATATTATATTATACATGCTTTAATGTTTTTTTAATGATGTTTTGTATGTAACCTATAGTGGTGCAGTGGGAGCCACCAGGGTCAATCCAGGCGTACCGAGTTCATGCTCTTCACGCCTTGATGCAAGAATTCAGACGTGCTCCAGCACACTTTGTCAGAGAGACGTTTGCTGAGGCCTCCCAGTGGCTTTCGCAAGCCTCATGTTGGACACGTCACGGTATAATCACTTAAGTGTCAGATATGTTTTCTTCTCAAAACATGCATAAGACATGCATGTATGTGCATGTTCAGTGAAGGATCGACGATGTTCTAACATTTTCTTACGGAGTTCATCCTCGGTTCGTTCAGTTCGGCCTTGGTTCTGAAAAACGCCGGATGTGATTCCATGAGAGGCGGGCTCCTATTGCGAGGCTCGTGCCATCATTCAGGACGGAAAGAAGGTGTTACCCAGTAATTTGTTTCTATGTTTTCTTGGTAAATGTTTGAATAACACCCAAATTATTGTTGACATCTTGAGTAGTACATGGGGCGTGCCCTGAAACTCGGCCGCCGTGCTACCAGGACAGCTCCGAGGTGACAAGTAACTCGTCGAAGCGCCCCAACAAGCCGGCTCCTCCCGTTGAGATGCCAGGCATCTTGCGAAAGGACGCGGAAAACACTGGGAAGTGTTGAGGTCACTCGCAGATTGATGCGGAAAATGCGTTGACTTCAATAAGTCACGAATGATTTTGCAACATTATATACCATGATTTTGTGACATTTTTGGATACATGTCTTGACAGAAATTAACAGAGAGAGGGGGTAAGCCAGGTCAAGCTGCGATATCATGGCTGAACATCAGGAGATGGCGCTTGGTCATCATGCCGTGGCCATCCAAGCAGCGCTGGCCAAGCGCAAGCAGGTCATATCGGTCATACCGATGATTTTCCAATGTTTTTGCAATGTTTTTCACCAAAAAATGGGGGAGGAATGGTTGGCATCACCAGCTGCTTGGTGGATTTGGTGTGAGGATGTTGCAGCTGTAAATTTGATTCTGCAGAGCCACGGGAAATGAAGGTTGAACGGCGGGCAGTCAGCCGTTGATTTGATGCGATGTGAGTTTTTGGTCAGGATATGGCTATAGATCAAAACCTTAGTAGTTCTACCACATTATCATTCATTATCCACATTTTGGGGGAAGATGATGATCCATTTCACATCATTTACCATGCGTACCAGGTAATTACTATCGATGTCCATCAGGGGATTCCATGGGTCAGGTGCGATCAGGGCGAATCGCTCAGCTGAAAGCTGTGGGTGGCCTTGGCACTTGTGGTTGTTGCTTTGATGATGAGCTGCTGCCTGAGGACCAATTGATACCGATTGGGGGGGCCAACATCTCCAAATTCTTCCGAATTCTTCCCCAAAAGATCTCGATGGCTTCAGATTCAGGTTCAGAATTACTCCGCAAATTGAATTGGAGAGAGATATGTGTGAATGGATGGTTGGGCATGATTTGAGCATGTTTGACATCAAAAAAGGCCAGATGTTCTGTTTTGTGTGCTACTCCTGTCCCATGGTTGAAGCCATGCCTATAGCACACTCGTACCCTGAAGCTTGGTCCAGGAGGAACTCCGATGTAGCTCAGCCCAGGGCCATGGCTTTTGTATCCCATGTGTCTCCAGGTGGCAACTATGTCACCATGTCAGACTGTGACACTCGTGGTTCCAACTTCTTTAGAACATTCTCAAGCACCAAGATTTATGGTTTCCTGAGAGGAAAAGGATGATAATGATGGAGAATGCATGAGAATGCCATATCTTTAGGGCCTCCACCACTTGGACACCAGGTAAAGCGGGCAGCTCTGGAATTCTTCGGCCAGGGCTTGTTCACCTTGAACCTCTCCACGGGCAGTTCGTGTCTGGACGGGAAATCTTTGGAAATCTGATGATTATGAGGATGAGGATGAAGATGATAGTTGTAGTTGCAGTTGTTCTTCTGTTTCTTCCTGTTCTTGTTCTTGTTCAAGTTCTTTTTGTTCCTACTTGTATGTGCTTATTAATTGTTGAAATCATGAGATATCATGAGATATTACTATTATATTGTGGATGTCTTGTTCATCCATCCATTCCTGGTATCGCTGATTGCTGGAGCTCCGTAAGGTCATCCTCAGAGCGGCCGCAGGTGAGTTCCACGGTGCTACGTTGCTTAGATACGTCTGGCTGCGATGGGCACTTCTTGGATTCCTGCTTGCAGAAGGCGCTGAACTAAGAACCTGAGGGAAGATGGAACAATGTCGTGGCAATGTCGTTTGAAGATGGTTGAAGGTTGTTGCGAATTGACAGTCGCATGCTGAGATTTGAACAGTTGCCCCACTGACAGGCCTTGCCACGGAAAGACTATGTTGCTTGGTGTGCACTTACCTCTCAGTCCGCAGAAGCTCCTTGGGATAGGTCAAAGCAGCACCAGAAAATGGGTAGCATATGGGTAGTTGCACGTCACAAGATTTTGTAGTCTGTTTTGATCTATTTCGACAATTTTTTGGTTATGTTCATCAGGTCCCCAGTGCTTTGACCATTGACCATTGACCCTTTTCCATCACGTCAATGTCCCACCTTGATATACAACAAACTGAAAAGTTGCCTTTTCCGACGGATTCCAACGAATTCCAACGGATTCCAATGGATTCCAACGGATTCCAACGAATTCCGGATCATTTTCCAAACTCATTCTTATTCGCTTTCTTGGCAGTGTCAAGCATCATAGAACCAATAAAATCATATAAAACCCCCATAAAATCCTATAGAACCCCATCAAATCCCCTTCAGATCCCATTAAAGCAAAAAAACATGGAACCCGGATCATTCTTGGCAATGTTCGACCCATTAAATGGGCTCAATTTTGCTGCTGAATCCTTCCCTGAGGTGAGATACTCCAGACGCTCTGCAGCTTTAGAGGCGGCAACCAGTGGCATGGAGGATTTGGTGGCATGTCCGGCGGCCCGGGGGACATATTTCTGGGGAAATCTCACCAAAAACATACCCGTTCCTTGCTCCCAGCTGAGATCTAGGAGCTCCAGCCCCTGGGGTGCATGGCTATTTTTTTAGTTTTTTTAGCAAATTTGACGATAGGTCCCTTGATTTTATTTGCAGACATGCTAGATTTTATCTCGATCCTATGCGTGAGATAAATTCCAAGGGGCCTGACCCCCCTAGGTCCCCTCAAGGGTACTCGCTTCCAAAGAGGACCCAAGGGGGGGTCCAGCCCTTGGATTTTATCTCATTCATTCTCATTCCAATTTCAGGTCAGGCCCGTTGATTTTATCTTTGGAAGGTTGGGCTTTTGAATTTTATTTGTGTCCTACTTGAGGCTTGGTACCTATCTTATTTTCAGATGTCAGCCCCTTTCAATTTAGGTCCAATCTACACCTTTGATTGGATAGGAAGAAACAGCAACCTTGATTGATGAAATTGATGAAATCCCCTGCAAAATTGGCGTCAAACTGTAAGGTGCATGAAGTTTATTTTGTTCAGCATTGCTGCCATGTTTATCAAACTCACCGTTACACATTTCCTCACCTTGAAACCTTATTGTTTTTGAACTTTCAGGTCAAGATATGTCAAAATATTGAATTTGACCCAAACAAAAAGGCTGCCAAATCCTGTACTTCTTCTGTTCCCGGATAGCTGCTACCAAACGGGGCGAAGCTTGGAGGAAAAACCAAGAAGAAATAAAATCTATGTCCCCAACCTTGATAGAACTGGCATCAACCACAGGTGCACATTTTTTTCTTGGGAAACGTGTGACATGTTTCTCCGCTTTCGCACCACGGAAACGGAAACCATGTCAATATTATCTCCTCTTGAACTCCATTTTTTGTTGAACTTTCACATCAAGGACAAATATTGAAATTGATCCGAAAAACACGCAACCAAATCCTGCATACCAACGTCTCACCCGGTCCACCTTCGGCTCCCGGATAGCTGCTTGGACTTAGAGGGGTGCTAGGCTAGAAATGCAGGAAATAAAACCTGTGTCCCCAACCTTGAGATATCAACCCCTCTGCAAGTCAGCATCAAAACAACTTGCACTAAGTTTATTTACTTGGGACGGTTCTGAAATGTTTAACCTTTATATATCATATTTGTAAAAGAAACATATCCAGAACAGAGTTTCCTCACTGAAATCCATTTGTTTAACCTGCACATCAAGGACAAACACTGAATTTGATTCCAAAAAAAGCTACCAAATCCTGGAAACCAACATCTCGCCTTGTCCAATCTTTGCTCTTGAAGCTTGGAGGGAAAACCTGAAAATAACATCTGTATCCGCTAACCTTGATAGATGAATATATCTAATTAAAAAACTCGCATTAAAGGTGTGCAAAAATTGTTTTCTTGGGAAGTTAGTTGTGACATGTTTGTCAACTTTATCTCTGTTGAGAACCTTTCAAAGTGGCCAGCTTATCTGTGGCATGCAGGGGAGAAAAAAACGATGGCTAAAATCCAGGAGGTCCATGGTTGCATGAGATTCACAGATAAAAACGTATGTTCTAAATATTCACAACATGCCCAAAATATTTTGAGGGGCCTGACCTTTGACCACTTTGGAACGTCCAAAATGCTCCAAAGTATGGGTACCCTTGTCCAAGTTGAGTTTTAGCAAAAATGTTTGGTTTACAAATGCTATACTTGGGCCCCTAGATTTTATCCATTCAGAAATGCTCAAAAGGGGTATGGGGGGGTCAGGCCCGTCTGGAAAACAGCCAGTGGAGACTACTATTTCAGGGGCTGGACCCCCCCTAGGAGCAACCAAGGGGTATCAAAAACGGACATTTAAACTTAAACCATCAAAAACGGACATGTCACCTTCACCAGCAAAAATGGACATCGAACCAGCAAACTATGGGAATGACTCGGAATGGCAGGACATTTACTGACATGCGTTGGCATGCGGGCAATGGGGATAGGCTGTGGTAAGTTGATAGGACACAGGGCGAGAAGGGTGCATCCAATTGGCGCATATTTTGGGATGGTTTGAACCCCCAAACAGAAACATATTTCCAAGTTGTGTTTTATTTCAGAAATTCAAGGACGCCAATGAATTTACTTGCATTATCTTGCATGCATTGCCAGTGTAAGCCTTATTTCATGATTCGCCTGGAAAACAGCATGTCGAGCAAGACTGGCGGTTTTTCAGGAGCTCGTTACATCTTGAGAATTTGGGACCCCCAATAATTTCCCCAAATCAACCAGTGGTCCGCTTCAAGGTAAGATTAGGAAATCACTGATTGGGGTGTCCTGGAAGTCTTGGACTGCAACACAGCCATAGCATGCCATGTCGCCATAGCTCCTGAGCTGACGAACGGCCAGGTCCTTCGTGCGATTTCATGGTTCAGATGTCAGATCCGAACGACCCTTGGGCTCAGTTGTCGCTCAAGGGTATGGAGCCAGAATTAGACAGAATTTGCAAACATTGTACAATCACTTGAGCATAGATTCATATAGTTTAATGCCTCAAAGTACAATTTGCCTGGATGGCTTAATACCATTTTTCTAGGTCCAATTGGTAGCCAGACGGCTTGAACCTTTGTACCTCAGACTGGTCGAGGATGGCATTGTGCGATGCATGGACCCAGAGTGCGGCAAGATCACCTGTCGCTGGTGCTCGAAGCCGGAGCATAGCCCTTTGAAGTGTCATGAGGTGGAGAAGGTGGCTCAGACAGAATGGGATGAAGAGATTGGTGTAGTGTAGCACTTTCACATACTTTCACCCTAAGTTTGGGTTGTTAAGGTAATTATATATGATTCATATTAATCCCTAAGCTTCCTGGGGCCCTGTGAGACAGGTAACTGGGCTCCAGCGACGACTTTGATAGGAACCAGGTAACCAGCGATTCTGGCATATATAAGTACCATGTAAAAGTGAACACAAACACATCACTCTCCGCGCGCTCCTGCCTGATTTTTTAGCTTTTGCCAATCACAAGTCTCTCCAATGCCGCGGGTGTGGATGTGATCACTTTCAACAATGATCTTTTCAACATGCGCTCCTCAAATCGTTCAGCTTTGGGAGTACTTTGGGCTACCAATTTTAGGTAGCCCATATAATCTTCCCCGCTGAAGCAATGATAACTTCGGGGATTGTATTTTTCCCTACCCACATCCAAGCACACATGTACAAAAATATGTAGCTTTGGAAGGATTAGCCAGCGTAATTGGTTCTGGCCAGCTGCAATTTGAGCAGACAAGAAAAAAAAGTGGCAACATTGTATGCCCAAATTTTTCAAATCTGTAGCTTGCCCTGCGCTTAGATATCTTGGAAGTCGCTCTGTCATGTTCTGCCACTCAGCGAAACTAGTCCTTAACACAAAACCATCATGGCGCAGAAATTGAAGTTCAACAAAAGTTGCGTGGTATCCAAAAAAATGATTTCCCTGAAAAGCATGCTAGCGTTTCAAGTTAGAAACACAGTCGCCATGCCAGCTGAAAACAACTGCTTGCGATCATTGAAGCCATGATCGCTTTCCTGTGGCCACTGAGCCAGCAAATCGTTCTGCGACTTGGCCAATGCATCCTGGGCTTGGCTGTCACATGCTATTGATAATTTATAGGGAGTGAGGATGTATAAAATTTATAGGGAGAGCATATTGTAAGTTTAAGGGTCCACCATGAACGAGGATGTTTGTTTCATTCAAAAAACGGATATGTTGTTGCCCAAGAAATATATATTCTTTTGAGAAAAGGATCGGCCAACCATCCCAAGATTACGCGAGCATTAAATGCCTTTGAATGTAGCCATGGGAAGGTGCGAACCCCGTCAGACTCAAGATGTAATTGTTTGGAGCACCACCGTCGCTGGGAACATGTTGTGCGATTTGCAGTGCGCCAATCCCTGAAGTCATCATAAAGGTGGCTCAATGCTTCATCCAAATTGCAATGGTACTGGGATACCCTGAGAGCAGCCAGCATCAGCAATCCCTCGGCGTTTACTGTGAGATAAATTCCAAGGTTCAAGGTATGCATCGTACAATGTCTCCTTAGATAGTGGTGGAAAGTAAGAATAAGCAATGTCCATACATGTATCATTTCGATCTAAATTGTAGTGAAATCATCATGAGCTGAATAAAACAACAGCGTCACTCGTTGAAATTGAAAATTGACTAGTGAGAAAATCAGCCAACCTTGAAGTAAGGCTCAACATTGAAACATCGAGGCCCAACAGATCTTTCAGAGGGTTGGGCGGCCCTACCACAAGGCATTGCTGCACAAACTGAGCTGTGGTGCGAAGAGTCTGCTCCCAATCAAAGTCGATGTCAGTGAAGAGGTGGCCAAATCTGGCAGGAACTATTGGGAACCAAAATGAATCTACAATTGTTCGTCTTTGGTCGTGTTTGAAACCGATGATCCTTCAACAATTTTGACCCAATCTCCTTGGTATCCTAGCAGCGGGGCAGCGAAAACAAATTGCGCCACATTTCCAATAGTGGTTGAACAGAGCCCAGAGGTACACATGCCACTGCCAATCCCCCAAGAACTGCGTAGTTGCGAAACGCACAGCCAATTTGGTCCCAGCTTGTTGTTTCGATTTACGATTAAGTTCAAATCCGCACTCCAGTGCTTGCGACAATGTAGGCCGTCGCCCCTGTAGAGCCAAGTTGAGAGACCAACATGCCCGTCGAAGTATGGGACGTAATGTTTCCTTATACTGTTCCCCCATCCCCAAACAGAATTAAATATGTTCCAGGTTAAAATCCATGCCCCAACATCCAAGAAAGATATATAAAGGTAACTGTTTTTAGTTTTCTTGAATATTGGTGGATTATTAGATCCCCTTTGAAGATGCGCCACCTTGCCCAGGCGATCACGCAAGAAGACACCAGAAACATATGAGGCCTGCTGGAAAGGGTTTGGGAAACTGGGCGCCTAAAATGCCGAAAAGAAGCCACACCCATTGTTCCAACTGCAATGGCTGAATTCACTATGAAGAAGAGGAAATTCTCTTGGCACGAACCTTGTAGTGTCTACGACCCACCGAAAGAACACAATCAATGATACATACCTGGCACAATAATTCTCTGTGGGCCCACATGTTTCTCCGCTAAAAAACAATTGGGGAAAGTGTTCATTCTAAAATGTGGATCTATGTTTGCAGGTAAAACTGAAACCTACAAATAAAGGTATACGTATAGAGTAGAAACCCTGCTTGAAGATCATAGGGGACCCCAAGCACAGCGCGATGAACTTGTCCTGATGTGTCTGGGAAAAGCGGGCTTCATCTCCATATATGCTCACAGGGAAAGCATCATGATTGCCAGGGTGGTCGCGTGCCCAAGCATGGATTGCACTCCAATGTTTCCAATATTGCCTAATTGTTGATACATGAAAAAAAGGTTATAACTCAATATTTGAACTTGTAAAGTTTCACACATTTAAAGGCAACCCTGCTTGAACAGTAATCAAGTTGCTCGATGAGGCCTGCAGAAATTTTGATCCGATCAGTCTCCCAAAGATACTGCAATAGTTCATGGGGATCATACATTGGAAGAAGTTGTTCTTTCGTTTTCTCTGCTCCTGGTTCAGATACTGGACATGGAACCCACGATAGCGGTACTGGCAGATTGATGTATCGAAATAAGTCCCTGTGTGCATTCATTGGCTTGGAAATCTTGGCAACTTTCCGGGTGATAGGATGCACATGTTGTTCTCCAGCTTCCTCACAAACACCCCAGACAAAACAACAAAACATTGCATTGTATATTAAGTTGCAGGGTATAAGCTTATTTTTGGGCCTTGATGCGAATACAAAAGCAAACAGCACAAGGAGGTTGACTGACCATAAAATCAAAATGTTCATTCGAAGTACGATTAAGTTACTTTGGTAGCTTCATTGCCTATTTATTAGCTATTGATTTTAGGGTCAGTCAACCCAGTAGCATATTGCCAAAGCTCTTCAACTACAGCCCTCGCTTGACAAACTGCACTTCTAGCCGATTCACGCCCTTCTCCAAGTCGGGAAAGCCTGGGCTTGCTAGAAACAATTCATGAAAAATAATGATGATGCTCGGTGATAAATAGCTAAAAGTAATTGGTGTTGGGTCAAACAGTACATGGTTGTATCTAAAACTCTGCAGGTAGCCAACTCTGCCCTGGAGCCCCCACGACTAAATCTTGACATGGCACAGGTTGGAGGCGAAAGAGGAGGACTCAGGTGCCCGCCGACCTGCGTGGGGGACAACTGTTGGATCTGGGAACTTTACCCCTTGGGCTTTGCAGCTTATATATTTTGGTCGTAGGCCGCATTTTTTTCCAGTCTGCGCCGTGCGCTAATTTGTTCAACTTCTGATCAGACCGTGTGGAATTCACACGAGATACTTTAGATGACTTTGCGACAGCAATCAAAGTCCCCGCAAGCACCACTGAAAAAGATACAACATATATATTTGGGTGTACTGGAATTAATGTTTTCTTGGACTTACCACGCCCCTTGTGAGCTCACAGGTTCCTAATTGACCCACTGTTTGAGCGATAAAAAGGCAACATGTAGTGCAACGCATCGCCCCAAGAAGTACTCATATGATTTGTTGGCCACAAAATACTGTTGTTTGATAGTGGGCACATCCAAGGCTCCTAGAGCGACGCTGACTACTGGTTGCACCCCCATATATTTCAAAATCATCTACTTTTTGTTGGCCTTCCTCTTCGCGCTGGCGTCCTTGGGCTTGACCAATCCCTTGACCATATCAGCAAGCTTCTTAGCTTCCTGAAGCTCAGCCTTCAAATCCTTAAGGGCTGAAGCAAACAAAGTTGTTTGATGTTGTTTGGATGAAAAACACCTCGAAGATTGCATTCTGATTAGTCAACAATGCATGTCACCAAGTCATCTTTGAATACCTGTAAATAGCCATTTTTGAATCATGGTCATGTTATCCACGCCCAAGCGGCTTTGGCGGCCTGCTCAAACTGATCGTCAGAAGCCGCAGTCGCAAGGAACTTCACGGCCTTATCCTTCGACTGAGAAAGCGACTTGGAGGTCTCCTTCAGATCTTTGAGCAGGGCATCTTTGTAAGCTGCAGTCCTCAGGTTGGACGGTTGACCATTTTGATTAATGTTCATTTATGGTGACACTGGTTAATGATGTACATCTAAGCATTCATGTTTCCGAGTTCAAATGGCAACGGAACTATATCCGTTGGTTTTTTTCTACAGAGGAATCTAGATTTTCTTCAATCCAAGTTTCACCTTGGCTACTCCAGCATTCATCAACTGGGCTTCAAGTTGGGTCAGATCGGTCTGGAGCTTGTGCGCGGCGTTGTTCGCCTTAGGTGGGCAATGGAGAAAACGGTTTAATTACTGATATGATCATTGATCTTGTAAAGAACTTGAACAGTTTGTGCTGTTTCAGAATGACCTCTGCACAATTAAAGTCGTTGCCAGTCCAATTCCACTATGAAGAACTATCAAGGTTCCTTACAGTCAAAGCAATCTACCAGTATTTGCTAACAATATTGATAAACAGGGTTCTCATTCCATAAATGGCCATGGGATTATTATTATCCATAAATGGGGTTAGGTTTATAACTTAACAGTACCGGTATAAGGTCAAAGCATATACGGGATAACCTTTTAACTTGTAGCAAGGGGCAGCCTCAAGGGACTGTCGACCTGTCTTTTCCTTCTTTGCCTTGTTGCCTGCTGCCTTTGGAATCTTTTGGGCGGCTGGTGCACCAGGTGCTCCTTCATCACCAAGAGCTCTCTCCCTAAGTTGATCCCCCCAGTAAAGGTCATGTGAACAAACAAGTGCACTCTATTGCTTTTAGCTTTCTGATGATCCTGAAAAAGTAAATGATTCTGTTGGCACCATACCAATTGAATTTTCATGAACGCAACAAAAATGCCAAACATTTTTTCAGGCTGGCCACATCAAGTCATACATATCCTTCTCAAGGATTTCAGCATCCCTAGAAACCTCTGCGGAGCTCTGGAATCGTCGACGTTTGCGTTCATCAGAACCCATGAAGCACTTGTAGGTGAACAGCTCTTCGCGGGTCGGGAAATCTGGGTTCCTGAGAACAGCTGCAGATTAGTTCAATGATTAGATAAACCTTACAGTGATGTTTTTTCACATTATTGTCCCTGTATGATTTTGTCTCCCCTGTTTCATGTTGATTGTGCAATCTAGGATCGATCTGATGAACTTCCCTTTCTGGCTTGCAGGAAGTTTCTTCTCAGCTTCTGTGTGACGGTGAATGAGATCTTTGGCGAGTTCCGCCCCCAGTTTCTCTTCCAGGAATTGCTTGGAGACAAAAGAGTAAAGATCTTCATGATCTGTTGTGTTGGATTTACTGCACCGGATAGCCATAACACAAGGACCCCATTCCCCCTTTGCAGCCAGCCAGTCCATGTAGAGCTCATGGAGCTTATGCCTGCCATGCTGTCCTGGGCAGTAAAGGAAGCAGTTCATGGAACCCGGTTTGGTCTAGCGTGGGGCTAGAGAAAAAAATAGCAACATGGCCAGTCATACTTTAACGATATTGAAATATCATTATGTAGTGGCCCTCACATATATCTTCAAAGCTACTCTGCATAATTGCAATTTTCCTGTTGGCTTGCTATTAACTGCCACAAAGCCAGCCGATTACCCAAAAAGGAACCCTCTTTTTTGGGTACTGGGGGGCTTACTTTGGGGGGTTCCGATTGTATGTGCAATCTACAAGTTGCCATTGAGACATCTCCAGATCTGCAACATTGGTCAACCAAGCTACCAATCTCTGACTCCGCAACTTTCTCGGCAATCTCCGTTGGAACTGGGTTCTTCTTGCCTGATTGTGCTAGTGGATGGTGGGTCATCTGTTTTATCCAAAGACATGCAATTTTGTGTAATTGATCACATAATGTTGTCAATTGCAAATCAAGATGCTACGGAGGCGTCGATAAAATCTCATGTAGAGTGCGTTGGGGTTGAGGACATTGCCATGCTTATCCCGTCGCCATGACTCTGCCCCTTCGTCATCCTCAGATTCCGCACGATCGGCGGCATCATGCTCCTGCCCAGGCTTGGCGTCAGAAGCTTCAGATGCCTCTGTGCGGGCTGGGGTGCTCAGATCGGGCTGAGTAGGCAAACGGGCTGCCAGCTTGGTGTGCACATCGTTGGCTTGGAGGGGACTGGATGGAGACGGGTGAGCTTCAGTGGGTTCTGACCAGAAGCTATCAGTGCTCCACGCACGAGATCCCCAAGTCCAAACATAGCGGTCTTGGTAAGGGTCCCAAAACCAATTTTTGCCCCATTGGTTCCCCCACCCATCATCACGCCACCAAGACTTTCCCTGAAGTCCATAGTATTGCCGCTGGCTGCAAGCAAAATCAACACCATACTCATCATAGGGCCAAGTAGTGTCAGTCTTACACCGTTGGAATCCATGTTCGTCATGTTGTAAATCTTCGGGCATCCCTTGGGGTTTCTTATCATCATTCTCACCATCAAAGTCATCCAACTTACGCACAGGACTCATTGTTGGATCTGGGACAACAGGCTTGGGAGGTGCCCCCCCACTACTCTCTTTGGCCAACCTCATCTCTTTGGCCTTGGCCAAATGCTCCTGAACTCGGTGAGATGCACTGCTGGGAGTTGAAGCGGTTGTAGCAGGCGACTCACTGGACTCAGTCACAGCAGGCGACAGAGCTTTGGGAGGTGGTGGCAAACCTAGCACCTTGGGGGGTGATGCTGCCTTTGCTGGAGTGGTCCCATGTGCCTTGCTGGGCATAGGAACAGCTTTCATGACGATCCCTGTAGACTTTGCTGCTGTGGGGGGCTCACTTGACTTCTCACGAACCCTTTTGGCAGGCGGGGGTGGGCAGGCTTTCACAAGCTGAGGTGGGTTCAAGGGTGCTGGTGCTGAAACTTTTGCCTTATAGACACAAGGCTGCGGTGTAGTACTGTCATCTCCCACTTTTCGCTTTGCTGCCTGATGCACCAAAGCCCTGGCTTTGGCCAAGATGTCGTGAACCGGGGTCATAGACGCTTTTGGTAACACAGGTGGAGCCTTCTTAGGACGTCCCATGGAGTTTCCTTCAGGGAATTCACGCGCAAAAACGCAGATGGGAAAATGTGAAAAATCATGAAAAATCCCTTTTACGGTTCCATTACGGTTCCGGTGGGTTTTGTTACGGTTCCGGTGGGGTTTTTTACGGTTCCGATGGTTTTTCTTACGGTTCCTGATTTGTAAAAATATTCAAAAACACATACATTTTTTTTGACAAACACAACAACCGGCTGTCCTTTTGGAACCGAATTGTTCCCGATACTTGGGCCAAACTTGCTTTTGCAGAAAGGAATTGCATACTATGCTGGCCAAATGTAGCATGAACTGCTACTGAACTTGCTCATCTAATCGAATAATCCACCAAACATCAATGGTAGTTGCAATGGAATGCATGTGGGTTGCAAGGGCTTCCGCTTTTCCCCGCCACTTGAGATCCCATGTTTGGTTAATTGCATGGCCTCCTAGTAGCCAAGGCCACTCGAATATATAGCCATACCTGTACGGTCATTTGAATTAATATGCTTTATCATTTTCCAGCACTAGTGCTAGCCTACCCTTTCAGGGTCGAGAAAAAAATGCCAACCATTTCCCGGGACATGGGGGCACATGTGAATGGCACGTCCGGCCATCGAGGTTTGAAACGTCCCTGCTGCATCTCAGCCTTCAAGAAGTCCACAAATGGTTCCTGGGCTGAAGGGGATGGATAGAAACAGAGCAAGGACAGCAGGACTGGTGATGGGGTATTGTATAAGAAAATAAACATATTCCTGAAATATGGCCTTAAACGATATTAATAGTAATAAATGCTGGTTGAACCTTAAGCCTTTCCGGGGACCAACCCTAAAGACAAGCAGCTAGCCCTGCGTCATCCCAAAGGTCAGGGGGTGCCTCAGCAAAGCCGGTTGGGACATAGCCCATAAATCTGGTAATACCAGCCACCAATCCAATGTTGTATATTTTTTAAATCTCGCATAACAGTTCAAAATAGTTCATGATTGAGCAGAATCTGGTCTCTGATGGCTATACAGTTTTCCCGCCAAGTGACAAAGCCATGTGGGCCGTGTTCAAGATCTTGTTGGTCAGGTCTCATTGGAATAGTACCAGGCTCCTAGGATGAGGCCAGTATATTGTTCTCATGGAAGCAAATTTAAATATATGTCAGGAAGTCTCACATTGTGCCGGCCATTTCCAACCCTTTTAAACCACTAAGAACTAATAAGATAAGAACGCATCATTTTGAGACAGAACCATATTCTTGATAGATCACCTCAATCTCCCAATCCATTTAGCCCAGATTCAATGCAGTACCTTTTGTGATAAGATGCGATTCTGCTGCAGAAAGGCATTGGATATTCCTGTGTTGATCTCAGTTTTTTCCCACCGCTCCTTAAGCGCGTTGCGAGGTCATAATGGGTGGCGCGCTGATAGTTCTAGATTCCAATGGATGTAGAAACCAATTTCTGACATGTATCTTTGAAACCCATGCGACCAAAGCACACGTTCTTTTTTCCATCCCTGGTCTTTGAAATTGTGGTGTTGCCAGCGGAGTTCCATTTAAAGCGCTCACGGTCTGCACGCGTGATGTGGCTCTGCAAGGAGAAGAGGTGAGCATATGGCCTTGGGCCGTTAAAGGTCTGGGTGTATTCGATTATTTCTAGACATGGTTTCGGTTTATTTTTTTTGTAGTGCAGATGAGAAACCAATTTCCCCATAGTACTGTTCTCTTCAATGAGCGATGTCCAAATAATCCCATCCACCTAGTGATCACGGAGGAATGTGTTGCAGAGAAATGGGTTACATTCAAAACAAATATTCCCCCAAACTAAGAGTTGATATCTTCTTCAAAATTTGGTGGGCCCGCATAATTTGATACTTTGGTGGTCATGCTTCAAAATCTTAACCTAAACTGATTCCAGGGGACATTCTTTGGATGACAGCCCCAGCAAACCCAACCATCATCTGATCTGGGTGAAGTGCATGTACAATATACGGTAGAAACTGGGCCACTGATGATGACGGTTGCTCGGTCAACCAAAAGATGCTGCGTACCAGAGATATCAATGCCATAATGGCATATCTAGCTGCTATGAGGTTTGCAACCTTCACGCAATCAGCTGCGAACCCGAGCCCTCCTCCCAGTAGACCCCTTGGATTGGCCCTTGTTTTTTTGGACGTCCCTCGGGACATCCAAACGTGAAGACTGCAAGGAAGTCCTCCAAACAAGAGGCCCCCAACTCGCACTCGCAGTAGGTACTGCAAGGCCACGATGTATCCATACCTTGTAAGAACGTGGATGTTGGATCAGCTAATTAGTAGGTTGGTACATGGGGGTTTATTTGAAGTTGATATCAACTTTTGGGTTATTTGGTTTTATTAAGTTACTTCAATTTCACCATCAAGTAGGGCGCAACCATCACAGTTAATACATCCAAAGAACACTGTTGTAAAATCCATTGAGTCCGCATCCAAGGCAATATCGTAGCGGGCTGCAGTCATGCCACTACGACCTAAGAAGAACTTTCTCTTGTACCATGAGGATTTGCTACTTGTAAAAACTGTCAACCAACTAGGCATCAAACGAAATGCAGAGTAAACGCCAGAGCTTCCTGAAAACATTTCCAGGGCCACCACGTCCTGGGCGCAAATGAAAACGAACATTCAGTTTTTTTGAAGAATGGATTCGATTCAAGGATAGTGTTTTAAGATAGAACTATTATAAGACCAACTGGTTGTCAGTACCCTTCCCTTCTTTTACCAAGCGACACGGCGAAATGCTTGTGAGCTGGTACTGCCAGTATAATCCAGTAGATGAATCCGGGTTTCATGCTTGCCACCCTGCAACTTCAACCAATGGTGGGATGCCGAGGTTATCACATCAAGAACCAAGTGCAGCTGATCTACAATACGCATGGCAGGCCGAGTGCCAACAGCATTGCGGCTTGGGTATGGGTAAGCTCAATGCGAGCCACCATGTTGGTGGGCCCAGGTATATGCGATGGCAAGTCTCCTAAAATCCTACCAAATGGGCAGCAGATCGGTTGAAGGAGCAAAATAGATAGCAATGCAGCAATTCAAATCAAATCATCTAAAACACAGTGGCTGTGCAAACAACCTCAAAAATTTTCACCGCTAGATGTCACACACTCGGAGTCAAGCTGCTAAAGTTCAAGGGCCCTGGTGCTAATCATGCCATTTCTCTGACGCTGCATCCCTACACCCCTCATGTCAAGATAAATCTGTGAAAACTACATCAGAAACAAATTCATTTCAAAATTGAATATGAATATATTTATGAATGGGTGTTGGCAGCATGTTGGCATGCTAATAGCTTGTCAGGACCAAACCGTTTCCCCAAAAGCACGTGGCAGGCCACATGCAGCCGACCAATGTCGACAACGTTCACTCCACATCAGCAGAGTACTTAGTCTGCAGAGCATTGCGGGCCATGTAAAAGGCTTTCATGGAATCCGTCAGAGATTTTCCGCTTTCCAGATTGTTGGCCTCAACTGGCCAAGTATAACCAACAAATTGTCAAAAGTCTTCATATGCTATTTTGAAAAGTGCATTTTTATGGTCTAATTCCTCATCAAAAGAAAGAAAAAATGCACTTTGCAAAATAGTCTATGAAGATTTTCGGTCAGTCTTGAAATGAGTCAAGTCGAGAACGGTGCTGTTTTCTATTTTGATACAAGGGCCCAACCAACTCGATGCATGTCATGACGATCTCACGAAGGGGAGCACCAGGCGCGGAATTAAGGTTGAGGAAACCAACCTAGTCAAGAACGGGTTGGATGTCTAGCGTTGTGGATGGTAGAAATCATGCACCAGACAATAACATTTTGGTAACTATTATGAACAAACGGGATTTGACTGGGATAAACCCTATAGCGGCTGGTGCAGGATTTCTTCCATCCACAATATGTCTCGTAAAGTCTATTGAAATTGAAATGTTGGGTCAAGCCTCTCGCTTCCGCTTGTTAAACTCGTTGGGCTTCATCTCAACCGTGACATCACCACGAGTAAAATAGACAACCACCTGTCAAATCAGATAAAAAAAAAAACATGTAACATATTGAGCTCAGAAAATTCTGTTGGCCTACTGGCCTTGTAATCGTTCAAGCTCGGCAGCAGTGACATGATGTAGGCTTTCTCTTCATCATCTAGCAGCAGAGGGCACTTGTATTGCTCCTATATATTGATTGGATGACACATCAACTGACCGAACAACAAATTCAAACTCATGAAGTTGGGGATGGCCTACCACATAACGCTTGCTCTCATCGGTTGTCTTTTTGGTCTTGGTCTCCCTCTCCTTTGGTGGAGCTTTCTCCTGAGCCTTTCTCTTTCTGCCCTGACCTTTGCCTGCAGCCTTGCCCTTGTTACTGGATCCAGAAGCCTGGTGGCTCTCGGGAGGATCCGTGCAACCATGCCCACCCTCAGCCTCACCCTTGCCCCTTCCTTTCCCACGGCCGCGTCCGCGACCGCGTCCGCGACCACGGCCAGTCTCAGCCTTCTGCTCTGCCGCATCCTTCTTCGCCCGAGATCGCCTTCAGATATGGCGTGGGGAAGAGAAATGCAAATTCTTGTCGGGTAATATTTTTAGCCAGAAAAACATCCAATACAGCCTAGTGACATGGCAAGTTGTTCTTGGAGAATATTCGGCTTGAAATCAACATCTTGGAAAGAGAGTTGACTAAGTACACCGTTCAGATCAGGAGGATGTGCGACCAGTGGTGCTCTGTCCTTACTGGCAGACACATAAACTTACTGGTTTTTTAAAGAGCAAAAAACAACCCCAGGATTTCACAGTAAACTCTGGGTCCCATCGAGCATCTGCATAGCACGGCCTAGGTCGAACAGCGGGAGCTTCAATGCGATCGTTCAAGGACTCCTGGAAACAATCTGTTGGCAATGTGGCATTGGCAAAGTGGACACAACGTTTTTGTTTTTGTAAGAGTTTTGCTCTCCCATTGGTCCACACATGTTTGGAAGAGATCGCAAGTTCAGCAAACCGTTAAATTTACATTTCTACATTTGATCATGAAAAAGGTGTCATGCTGTCCTCGGGAGTGTTCTTGTCAGGGTCAACCGCATCAGCCTGCCAGAATGCGGGGTCCCTACATGGGGTTGGGCTTGGATCTACCCAAGCCTCGCTCGCAGGAAGATCTTCGCTGGCTTCAAGACCGGCAGCGGCAGCAATTGGAGGACCTGCGGCCTGTGGCGTTGGGGTGATGAATAATTTGTTTAGGAAAAAAACTAAAAACACCAACTCTACATTCCACATGTTGAGCGAATATTTTTTGGAGGTGGTTCACCCTGTGGATTTCAAGTAATTAGTCTATATCAGCGGGACTGGAAAACATAGGGACGGCCCTGTAGAATCTTCAGATCAATGGTGCTACAAGATGATTATTTTTTAAATCCCCATGTCAACAAATGGCCAAAGATACAAGCCTCAACTGTGGTGGCAGGTTCGTCACCCATAGGTTCGTACCCAGTTGGTTCGTCCTCTTGGTCAACCTGCGCGCGCAACCCACCATAAAATAAATTAGTTATCTATGAAGTTCGTTTGGAATCCGAAAAGAAGCTGATTAGCTATTCAATTCCCAGCCTCTAGCTCAATGCCTGTAGACTCCTGCCCGGTGTGCAAAAGTATCAAACGACTAGCATGATGGGCACCCACACAACATGTTAAGAACATCTTGCCCCAATCCTTTGACTTTGTGGGTAGCCATCTACGCAAAGAACTCTTGGGAATCCAGGGACGAGGCGGCCAAGCCTCAGCTTCGAGACCGGGAGGCACCAAAGGCAAAGTCTCCATCAGATCCACAGCTGATGAGGCCGTGGCGGAAGGCCTGCAGCCTGCCAATTGCTGTGCCACATGTTCCCCAGCATCCATCACAGCAGCAGACCCACCATCGTCAGCGCTTGCCACAACAGCCTCAACAGATCCACTTGGCTCAGCAGCAGCCTCACCTTCCAGCCCATCGCCGTTCCCCACCTTGCCACCCCCCGCCCCATACTCCTCTAGACTTGCAGCAGGAACAGCATCTCCTAAAGCACCTGTCCCATCAGCCGCGCTAGCGTCTTCAGAAGCAGCACCTGCCTCATCCCCAGCCGCGCTTGCAACAGAGACCCCCTCACCTTCCCCATCCCCAGCAACACTTGGAGCAAAGGCCTCACCTTCCCCATCCCCAGCAACACTTGGAGCAGAGGCCTCACCTGCCCCATCCCCAGCCGCACTTGGAGCAGAGGCCTCACTTGCCCCATCCCGAGCCGCATCCCCATCTGCAGACACATCAGTTCCGCCAGCAGGATGCACATGGTTGAGGATATCCTTCAGCGCTTGGATCGTGGCAGACCTTAATTCCAAATCCAGCATGATTCTCTGGCTTATGTGTTTCTAACAATAGTGATTTGGCACATGGTTGTATTTAATGATTCATTTGTGAAACTTAAACCAAGCTGCTTGGATCTAGAACGAGTTTTCCTCCAAAGCCTGATGAGGTAGACAACATGTGCCCGTAGGGTCGACCCCTGATACTCCGCCCAATCAGACACATCTTTCTTCAAGGCGGCGTCTCCATGTAGAGCATATGTATTGGCCACTTCAAGAAAAGCTGCCTAGTCAGGCTGATGGGACTACACACACATATATTACTTGTAATATATAATGCCATGTTTTTGTTTGTAAAGTTGCCCTAGCCTTAGCCAAAAATGCAGGTCAGGATACTTTGAATTTGCTGCCAACTGGGATTTGTGTGCCAAACTGAGCAAGGATCAGACCCACAGGTTCTGCGAGCTTTCCCACAGAGTCGTCAGTCACCGTCGCAGTTGCACCACACAACATGTTATGTTGGGGATCTTCTCTAAGCTCCTTCAAACCTATCTGAGAAGCGTGATGCAGAAGCATCGCCCCCAAAAATCCACTCCTTAGATAGTGATCACCCGGTGTGAATTCATGTGACGAATTGAAATAAATTGGTGACTTGAAAACCAGCCGGGTAACTGATTAGCATCGACATCAGGATCCTCACGCCCATGACCCGCCATGCTTCGACAGGAGCTGGGCACTGAGCGGCTAGGTGGTGACCACCGCTGATGCTGGAATGTTGCTACGGGAAAAAACATGAGCCAGCACGGTGCCTTCATAAAGACATTATAGACAAATATGGTGGAAAGATCCTTTTTCTAGAATACATCACCAGCAACGACCGGCCCTCGGCTGATGGAGCGGGGTGGCGCACCGTCATTCTGTCTATTCTGTTGCCATGCTATGCCCCGGGCTCTTTTCATCTACAAATTTGCTGCCCATGGATGATCATAAGAAGCCTTTGTGCATATTCTTGGATGATAGAATGTTTCTCTTGAAAGATTTTGACATAAATTTATAGGATATCATACCCACCTCATCATATGGATGCCCGGTTCCGGGAACCAAAGCTGCGACCCTGGGAGATAGGCAACTGGGCTGCGACCCTGGGAGAGAGGTACATGGAAGTTCAGGGAATTAATTCATATTAATTCCTTTCTCTGTGATATGAAGTTTCCCCTGTATGATAGCCCAAAATGAGGGGATCCAATAGGTTTTTCTGGGGGGTATTGAATAGTGGGGCGATGGAATTCTTTGCCCATGATATGTTTGGCCGCTATGAAACTCTATGAGTTCGGTAGCCGCAAAGTAGCGGTTGCACAAAATCAATGAAGCAGCAACTAAGGATGGTGAAACAAAGATCAGGCAAGCTGCCTTGTTGCTATTGGTTGCATTGCATTTCTGGCAGCGAGACTTCTGAGCCAAAACTTAAAACGCCGTTTGATGCCGTTTGTTAGGACATTTGTGGAAGAGAAAATGGCGGAGGCTGTGCTTCGAAGGCCGGAATGGTCCAGGTTGCAGATTGGCCTGAATGGATTCATGCTGCCGGATTTTTTGCAGGGGGGCCTTGTAACCTAAAACTTGTGACTATATATTCATAATTTTATACATAGATAATCACAGACAGAAGTGCTGCATATTCATTGATCAGATCCCGGGTTTGTCTAATGAGTCTAATGTGTCATCATGATTGTAGCCGCGTTGCACAACTGTCAACTGCCAAAGGTGCCCAAAGTGCAAGAAGCCCTATGAAAGGAGCGACTGTCTCATGCTTCCAGCCTCACAGTTCATAACTCTTTTAAACACACGTTTTACATTTTACATGGTGCAAAAACCCGTATACCTCCATAAACAAATACTGTCCCCAAGGTTTATGTCTCCATGGCATTCCATGGCTAAGATCCTGATGCAGGACCGAGGGCTGCAACCACATCAAGTGCCCTTGTGGGACTCATAGTCAGGATCTCAGGATGACGCTGGGAGGTGCAACACCCTCACTGTAAGATATGCCCTGTGGACCTGATCCTCAGATGTTTTTATTATGATTTAATGAATGCCGTGCCCCAAAAACGCTGGAAAAAATATGATTTCATTGGTCCTGCATTAGTGTAAATCATGTTGCATTCGTTTGCATGACTTGTATTGCAGCCCAGGCTGCTACTTGTGTGGAATGGAACTGGACAAGAAGCGGCCGTATGATCACTACAAGGACTGGGGACTTCCAGCCGCAGACACACGTTTGATCACGTTTGCATATGTCAGCCATCAACACCACTAGGATGGACATGTTGGTGGTGGCACCAATGCCAAAGACTCCAAGTGCATTGTGCCACTGAGACTGAAAGTGGATAAAAGTTGCAGAAAACGGCAGAAACATGTTCAACATTGCGTATCCATTGTGTATCCGTTGATAAAATGGATGATTTTGGTGGGTTCAAAGCTAAGGCGCCAATGCGTTTGGAAAGAGGTTCAATTGGCTGGCACAATGCTGAGGTATGGTACGCCTTCCTGGGCAGAAAACAGCCCCGAGAAGCAAAAGGAGGTGCCCTTTGAAAAATTGAATCCGATCGAATCGAATGGCAGGGCCTGAGGCTCATAGATTTTGAGGTGTATTTCTGTCGCAAAATGCATTTGCAGCTGTGGTTCCAAAGATGCAGGAAACCCAACGCAGTTACAGAAGTCCTTCTGATGCAACCAGGATGAAGCCCAAATTGAATGGTTTCCAGGATAGAGTATGGAAAAAGGTCTGGAATTGTTTTACCATGTTTTACCAATAGCGAAAAGCCACAAAAGTAGTGACCGAACCCCCGGACTTCACGTGCCAAGATGTACGGCTTTGATGTTAAATTCGACTTCAACCATCCATTTCTGGGTACGTTTGAATAAGTCACAGCCCCAAAAAGATTTGGTAAGTCCGGCCATTGATGATTTCGAGTTGTTTTACCAAGGCCTTTTCGGGCAGGGCCACTAGGCATACTAGGCCGCTAGGCCCCGCAGCTCCGCAGGAGGCGGAAAAGGCCTTGAAGCAATACCTCCAGGAGCATCCTGAGCTGCAAGAAGTGGCGGCTGAGTCGAGCCTGGAGAAGCGGAAGAGGCCCATATGGGAGCTGATGGGCGCCGATTTTTTCACCGATGATGTGATGGGAAAGTAGGAACAGAATGATCAGAATGTAGAATCAAAATTGGAACTGCAAGCACCAGCATGTACTATGATGATTTCATATGATCTCTGATCTATGATTAACTATGATGAACTATGATATACTATGGGGTTGAGTAGGAAGCCATTGTTGTAGGCATGTTGTAGGCTGGCGAATCATTGCGGAACGATTCTCGTCTACTTTGTTGAGTCTACGATGTGAAGTTCAAAGGGCATACTGCAGCCCAGCCGCCCTGCTGCCCTGCTTCAGGTTGCAGGAACTCATGCAACTCAGTCCGCATCGAAAAAAGAAGAAACATAGCAGGCCCGGCAGGCCCGAACTGCTGCAGACTCCGCAAGCCACTTGGACAACATGAGACTCCTGAGATGCTGATGGGTCGAATGTGTGGCAGTCTTGCAGTCAAAATGTATCAAAGCTGTGTACAACGAAACACTATGGCAACTTTAAAATAAGTATGGAGGGGGCCCTGATTGAAACTTATACTCGAAAGTGTGGCTCTTACCAAGTCATCCAAGTCAGCATCAGAATCACGTAGCGGTGCAGAAATGTGCAGAAAAGCCTTGCTATCTCCTGGGCCCTAGAGCAGATCACCAGGGGTCACAATTATAGTCCAGGATATTATAGTTCCACTGGTGGATGGGACAGCTGTGCAATTCCAAGGCTTGTGCGATTCAGTGATGGCTTTCCAATTGAGAGCTCGCAAGAATGGCTACGGCTACAGAATGCTTTCGCGGTCATGTCTCACAGCTCGGGTTTCGACCTTGGAGCTTCTTAGTGACCGCTTAGCGACCACGTGACGCGGAAAAATGGAACTGCCTTGCCACAAATCAAACAGCACAGGTGGGAGCACGATGAGCAAGCCACAGTCTGGGCTCGCATACCGTCCATTAGATCTGTGGATTGCATGTCCATGAGTTGGACTAGTTGTGTGTTCTGTCCCCAGGGACCATGGATCGTCAGGTTAAAATCCTTAAACATGGTGTGTTTTGCTTCTTCTCCCCACTACTTTCTTCCTTTGGTGCAAAGAAATCCATCTCAATCTCCTCTCCCAAGATTGGCCCGTTGCCGTTGCTTCAAGGATTTTTGCCGAGAAAAACCCGGTGCTCCACGGCCCATGGCGCCTACGGGAGATCCCGGGGATCCCAGTCCCCTGACGCGTGCAGAACTGCAGGAGGCATCAAAAGTTGGTGTACCATCTCTTCAAATAATACAAAACCATACAAAACCATACAAAACCTGATTGAGCCTTGAGAATTAGATAGAATTACCCATGATTTAGAGGAAAGTGATTAGCTGATTAGCAGAGAGAGAGAAAGAAAGAGAGAGAGAGAGAGAGGAAAGTGGTTTTCCAACCCGGTATTTGTCAGGTCTGTGTTTGGTGGAGGAATGGTACAGGATACACAATTCGATATTGTATCACCTGGTATTATAGCATATTATAGCCACAGACATTGACACGCGAATGATTATGAGTGTGATGATGTGGATCTGGATGCTAGTCAATTCAATCGTTTATCACGCTTGACAAGTTGATGAGGATCGTTTAAGATGCTTTGAGGAGGTAATAATATGCACACACACATAGTATGTATATATATATATACATACATACACATACATATATACATACGTTAATCCTAAAATCATTATGTGGTTCGCATTCTTCACCAGGATCCGCCGATGTCACCTGGATTCACCTGGATGTTCCGCCAGGAGTTCCAGAACTTCTCTCAGCGACTTCTGGAAGATGCCCTGGAGCGCTTTGCGGAGAAGACGGCCAAACAGGTCGATTCCTATGGGGCATCCCATGGGGCATCCCCCATAAAAAGCCAATGTTTCTCCTGAGGGTTTTGCGGTATAGTGGGGATTTGAGATGGTGTCACGGTGTCCTGTCAGGATCGAGGCTGTCACAGAGAAACAGCAGGTGCTGCTTTTTCCCCACCTGTCAGGCTGTCAGGTGAGGGTTGTTGGATTTTATGTCAGCTGTCCCGCCTCCTCCTCCTTCCCGCCGGACCTCAACTGCAAGCGCTAGACCGCAGTGTTCCCCGCAGGACCTCCACCGCAAGCTCAGGATCAGAGTGTTCCCCGCCGGACCCCAACTGCAAGCTCTAGATCGCAGTGTGTTCCCCGCAGGACCGCAAGCTCAGGATCCCCGCCGGACCCCAACTGCAAGCTCTAGATCGCAGTGTGTTCCCCGCAGGCCCTCCACCGCAAGCTCCGGACCAAAGTGTTCCCACCGGACCTCAACTGCAAGCTCTAGATCGCAATGTTCCCTGCCGGACCTGAACAGCAACCTCTGGATCAAAGTGATCCCCGCCGGACCCCAACTGCAAGCTCTAGATCGCAGTGTTCCCCGCCGGACCTTCGCCGCAAGCTCTAGATTACAGTGTTCCCCGCCGGACCTCCACCGCAAGCTCCGGATCAGAGTGTTCCCCGCCAGACTTCCAACGCAAGCTCCGGATCAAAGTGTTCCCTGCCGGACCTCAACTGCAAGCTCCGGATCAGAGTGTTCCCCGCCGGACCTCAACCACAAAGAATCTCCGAAGATATACCGGGTAGAATGCCAGAAAGAATATCAGAAGATATGCCATATGCCAGAAAGAAGGTCAGCGCGCATGCCGAAAGAATTGCTTCCAGATGGTATATGTCAGAAACTCTGTGAGAATAGTGGGTCACGCTCGAAGAAAGTAATTCAACTTTTTTTGAAGTCGTGGTGAAAGGTATTGCAGTCGATTTGTCCATGAAAACTGATGGCCAACTTCAAAATGATTTGAAGATTCTCAACCTTCTGCACGCACTACCAGTCGCCAAGAGCTAACTAGCGACTACTATGCTACCAACTCCGGGCCCATCGCCTGCTTGGGTGCATCGCTGTGCGTGGTCAGTGAATAATTCCAGCAAGGGCAAGTAGTGGCAGTTGATAAACTTGAAAGAACCGCCCGAGGGGCCAAGAGTATCGTAGCGTGCATTTCAAACAATGATGTTTCCAGATCCTCTAAACTTGTTGCCCGCAGAGGCACATCACACATGCATCATGTCCACCCCATTTCCGCAGTGTAGTGGTAGCTGTAGATGTTGTAGTTAGTTGTGCTGTAGTTGAAGTTGAAGTTGTAGTTGCATTGTGGTGCAGTGGCAGTTGTAGTTGTAATTGTAACCGTACTTGTAGTTGTAGCTGTAGTGTAGTGGTAGTTGTAGTTGTAGTTGAATTGTACTTGCAGTTGTAGTTATACTGTAGTGTGAAAGTAGTTGTAGTGTAGTGTAATGTGTGTGTAGCTGTGGTTGTAGTGTGGTGTAGCGTATTGGTAGTTGTGGTTGAAGTTGTAGTTGTAGTTGTAGTATGTTGTAGTGTAGTTGTCGTTTAATGCAGTGGTAGTTGTTGTTGAAGTTGTAGTTGCAATTGTAGTTGTAGAGTAGCGTGTCGTAGTTGTAGTTGTCTATTTATCTGTCTAGCATTGTCTATCTATTTGTCTATGTATCTGTCTATCTGTTCTTTCTCTGTCTGTCTATCGGTCTTTCTATCTTTCTATCTGTCTAACTTTCTATCTGTCTAACTATCTGTCTTTCTATCTATCTGTCCATCTATCTATCTGTGTGTACCTGCAGACTTGAAAAAGAAGCTATCTTGCGAAACTTCTTCTAGTTTTGAACTTGGCAGCATCGAAAACACAGCCATTCTGCGAGATTTCCTCAATGTTTGAACTTGACAATGTCAAAAACCAAGCAATTCTGCGAGACTTCCTTAATTTTCGAGGTTGATAACATCAAAAAACGAAGCAATTCTGCGAGACTTCCTTCAAAAACGGAAGGTTGAGTTTGAGTGCAGAGCCTATGGCCTCGTACCAATGCGTTTTGCAATTTGTTTATTCCATCTATCTAAAGTGCTGCGCCGGCCACGAAAAGTGAGGCGGGGTCATACGAAGTGCTGCACGTGTCACGCAAAAGCATCTTAGCAAACCTGGCGATCTGATGCTCCAAAATGCAACTCTTCTCAGGAAATCAGCGCCCGCACCTCCTAACATCTTTGACTCATGTGTCTATTGTATTGCGCCTGCTACACGAAATTCATCTTTGCGGATCCTCTTCAAAAGCCCCACGCCTGCCAACGCTTTTTGAAACTGCTACGAAACCGTCACGTTTTGGTTACGTTTGGCAGGGTGCATAGTCCCTTGCGCCTGCCACACATTGCCACACAAAACGACGCTTCAACGTCCAAAATGGCCGTGGTGTGCTTTGTACATGTTGACTTCGAAACGCGCTTCCCGCCACAACGGCGTGCACTTTTTCGATACTCAACTTCCAAAAGTGCTCGAACCTGGTTTGTTTTGCGCATTTTGACTTCGAAATGTGCTTCGCGCTACAACGGCGTGCACTTGTTCGACAGCTCAACTTCCAAAAGTTGTCTGAGACTAACTGCTTTTACACTTTCCACTTCGACATGTGCTTCCGCGCCACATCGGCGGGCACTTTTCGACATCTCAACTTCCAAAAGTGCTCCGAAGGCTCCGCTCCCGCCGCTTTAGCGAGCCTAATCCCTTCCCCCTAAGAAAAACTAGTTTCCATCTCGAATTTTGGAAAATTTCAGGTTGGCCAAATTGACTTGTAATTGATCCCCTTCAGAAACCAATTTCAAAATATAGGTACTATTTGTAGGTTTCACCCCCTAATAATAAAGTCAACCCTGGGGTGTTTTTTATTTGGGTCCGTCCGAAAAAAAACAGTTTTTATTTTATGATATTTTATGGTTTTTAATTTAGTATTAGGGTGAAGCTTCGAAATCCATTTTTGGCATTTTTTGATTGCGATATAAAAGGAAGCTTAATCTAATTGATTTTAACTCGAAAATATGTTTAATTAAGGGTTTAATTTTACTATTAGGGCCCGCTTCAAAATCTAGTTTTTGGCAATATTTTAATTGCATTACAGAAGGAAATTTAACTTATTTTGAAATCGAAACAAATTGTTTTTTATTATCAAGGGTTTAAACGTATTATTAGGGTCCGCTTTGGTTTCCTAAAAAAAATACCACCCTAATAATGAAAACTGCCTGATGTGTTTATTATTTGGGTGGTTTTAGTATTGGGGGGAACGGATTAATTTTCGACCATCCGGAGCCCCAAAACATTGGAAAAACAATGCGTTTCGCGACTTTTCTACCTTTTCGCGCACTTGCATCTTCTTTCTTCTTCTTTCTTCTTTCTTCGTTCTTCTCTTTTTTCCTATCTTTCTTTTCTTTCTCTTTCTCAATCTTTCTAACATCTTCTTTCTTCGTTCTTCTTTTCTCTTTCTTCTCTTCTCTCTGCTTCTCTCCTCTCCTCTCCTCTCCTCTCCTTGCCTCTCCTC